AATGCTCTAGGAAAATATCTACATTATTCTTCTCAAAAACATCTTAAAAATCTTGATATTGACTTGGAATTTTAATTGAAATCTTCTCATTATTTAAAATAGATGTGGCATAAATAACAAAAGAACATCCTTCTTTTGTAACATGCAAAAAAGCTTTTGTACCTATAAGTACAGATTTGGCTATACAAGACTCATGGCTTTCTACTAGATTAGAAAAATTCTTAATGATATTTGAAGAAAAGTCAAGTTTGCAAGAAATCTAATCTATCACAAGATTATACTTTTCTAGCCATGATAAACCTTAAATGACTGGATTAGAGGGAGATCTAATTATATTAAAAATTATGTGATTCTTATGATCATTTATTATTACATCTATAGGAAGTGTTTCATGAGTAAAATCTCCAGAAGATAACGGACAATTATTTATGACTTCTATGTGTACATGTTTAGTTTTTTGTACTAATTATATATTATGACTTCTAACAAATTCTTCATCTAAAAAACAAGTAGAGGCTTTGTGATTATTAGATCCTAAAAGCACATCTATTATAAAATAAGGAGAGGATTTTGATGAGAGAAGATGACCTTCATTAAGAATTGTATAAGATTCTAGCCACATGGTTCCTATTGTAGGTGGATAAATTTATTTTTTGACATGTTTTCATCTTTGACAATAGCACTCCTCATTTTGTAGTTGCATCATTTCTTTGGATAATATTGAGTAGTGTGCTTAGCTTCTCTAATATATAAACATAGTCCTTCTTGACAACAATGAGTCTTTTCTTATTTGATAAGAAGTTTAAAACATACTGCATCAATTTGCATGTCTTCTACTTCCAAATATTTAGATTGAAAAGTTGTTGGTATTGACATTGAATTATAATAACATTGAGGTTCCTTTAAGTGATTCTCAGATCAAAACTCAAAAAGCCAATTATCACATTTCATAATAAAGTCAATTGTTTGACTCAATGTTTGAGGATCACGTAAATTGAACATCAATTTTTTTACTTCATATTATAATCTGTAGAGAAATTGGCTAATAAAGGTTGCATCATTTCACTTGACATATATCGCTAATTGTCAAAATTGTGAAGTATATAATGTCACTGATCAATTGTCTTGTTGCAAGATATAAATCTTGTTGGTTGCAACACGGATTGCATCATATTCTCTATACATAGATCAAAACTCGGTAAAGAATGCTTCTAAATTATTTAATATTAGATCACGTTGTTCAAGCAATGATGGAAACTATGATAAAGAAAAATCTGAAAGTAGTGTTCCAATATACCTAACTTAAAATCCTTGAGTTGGATAACTTTGAGGTTGTAGTTCAATCACCACTTGTACCTAATTGATGAATCTTCAAAATTTAGATCTTTTGCCATCAAACTTTCAAGCAATCCAATTTTTTGTTCTTTGAAACTTGAACAATGTTATGTTGTAGGAGCACTAGTATGGCTTGGTATAGATGTTGAAGCAATTCCAATCATCTCTATATCTTCATTGTCTGATAATCTTGTTGCTCCTCGTGGTAGTAGGCTGAGTTGATGCATTGCAAGCATTAATTCTTTCATTTGCTCTTGCATTTGAGCCATTGCATTCTACATTTTAGCAAGCTCTTCCATGCTAACACAATAAAAAAAAAAGGTGTTTATTTTCAAAAAATATAATACTCAAGAATCAAGAAAAAAAATTCTAGAAACAATATCAGTTTAGAAGAGGGTAATCCGCAACTTCTAATATGCTTATGTCTCATCAAGAAAAAGGGATAATCTACTCTTAATCAAGAAAAGATAAAGCTTTGATATTATATTTGTACTCTTGTCAATCTGTCAAGGACACAAACTGGAAGAAGATGCATAAACTCATAGAATCTAAATCAAAAGGGAAGTGAAAAAATAGAAGAAAGTATGTATATGCAAGGAAGAACTGGAATGGCTATTACCAATGACTAAAAAACACAAGACTTTTGAAACTAGACTAAAAGCAAGAAAGAAGTTGGCAAGAGTGAAGAAGACTTCAATCTTTTTTTTATATATACTATCTAATTAGATGTTACATGGTGATGTTCTATAGGACCTCTAATATGTGTTGACTTTTTAAGACACATGCCTTGACTTACAAGGCAAATTTTTCTACATATGGGCCACATAGTTAGCTTGGACTTCAAGCTAACAACATGTGTGGTATATGGCCAACTTGTTGACCACGTTTCTAACCTAAAAAGTCAAATATAGATACCTATAAAGTCAAAGTAGCATCTATGAAGCTTGTAGGAAGCTTCTATAGAAGATATTATAGAATTAACTTACTTTTACCTACTTCTACTTACTTCTACCTATTTATATAGGTAATTATTGGCTTACATATATAAGTCGGTGATTTGTACCGTGTTTATGAAAATGCTGACTTCTTAGACCATTTTAGCAAAAAAATATAAAAGAACCAAAGTTACGGAATTTAATAATAGAAGCAAAATAGCATCACAACAAGAAGATATAGCAACATATGCTAAACAGTATTACCACACCTTATTCAGTGTAGACAAGACAATTAAAAATAACTTCATAGCCATAGAAGTTTGCATCTTAAGTGCTCTCACAAGATGGCAAAAACAAATGCTTGAATAACCAGTATCAGCAAACAACCTTCTAAGATGGATACATAAATCACAAATAAGCTTTATAGGAAGATGTTGTATCTTTGACTATGTTTATGTAGCATTTGAATCCATAGTATGGGCTGAAAAAAGCAATCAAGATATAATATTAATACTACCAAATTTTGACGTATAAGCTTAGAGTTCACCACTTTCAGCATGAATATTGTCAATTATTTTATATGATATTGTAGCATATTTAGCTTCCTCAGAAGATAGATGTCATGAATTGGCTCACCTTAGTGAAAGACATATTAATAGATACTTGATGTTGAATCATGGAAATAGATCTCTAAAGTTGTCTTTGTAATACAAAAGCCATAGAAACAATTCAATATGCCTTTTATGACTGCCTTGCCATTGAGCCAACATGAGAATTACATAACATCTTTTGCAATTTGAACCAACTATTTCTTTTGCACAAATAAAATGACATGTTATACAACACCTTCAATCCTACAACTTTGATAAACCACATAGTTTTCATAAACACGGTACAAATCACCACAAATACCTTTTGATATATTCTCAAAATGCTCATATTATGGAATGTCCAATGTGCCAAATGTAGCTTCAATTGGGACTAAGTATCCTACTACACTAGCCAAATAATCTATAAATCGCCTACAAAGCTTAGAGAGAGTTCTACCATCATGTTAGACCTTCCATTAGAACAACACCAAAAAGATAAAGTATTTTTGCACCATATGGACCAAGTACAATATCTTTGCTACTCTAGAGCCACTTTGATGGAAGATGATATCACCACTATAATTATTGTCACGAAAGTGTGCTCTTCATCCATGATAGTAAGCATGGTTACAACCAATCTCAAACCCATCATTACACAAAACAATAGACAAAATATTTATGGTGATAGATCCCCTACAAAAGAACCCACCAATGCAAGTATAACATCAAGTACATTAAGAACCATTATGTAGGGAGCAATAGCTTCACACAACAACTAGCAATGAAGAATATTAACAAGCAAATATAGCAATAAATAAGGTCAATCCTACTTGAAATCACCAATACTTATAGTAGGAAGATGTCAATCAAGACCACAATATATGCTCTATCAACAAATTTTGCATCACTTGTGGATATTGACAATAGCAAGACCAATCCCATCAACAACATCGATGAAGCATTTCACACGTACAAGACATGGCTACATCTAGAATTGAGAGGATGATCAAAGAAACCAAATACAAGCATAGACAATATAGATAGTACAATAGCAATTTTTTAAGGTGTTATGACTAATATAGTCAATAGACGAAAGAATGTAACACTACTTCATTCTAAGAAATAACCACACAAGCAATCGAGACAAAGAAGATAAAAGCTATCCAATATCAAAGTTGCAAGGACAACATTGTTATTCACTATGGCTAAGTTGTGAGGATAACTTTGTTGTCTATACCAATATATCAGACTGACTAGTCGGATATCAAGCATACAACTTGTTATAATCCTATAGCCAATAACCTACCACATTCACAAACCTCCAAGACCTCTCCCAAACCAATGCAAATTGTGCAAAAATGTACAAAAAATTTTTTTACCATAGTATGGATTTTGGCTCATTACTAATTTTACAAATTGTTGCACAATGTTGTGAAAATAAATTGTATGTAATATGTCTTGAGATTACTCATATGTGCCATCATCTTCATGTAAGCAATTCTATCACAACTTTTGTAATAAAACATGACAAGAAGATGTATCGATATACTATTCTATCTTCAGTCATACTAATTTACAAAATTAAGTACAGTAAGGTTGAGAACTCACAATGGATTAGTAAAATAACATAAAAATTAATAATGTTCTTTTCATATAAGCATACTTAAGGGAGAAGAAAAGTGGTCTGGCATTTCAATTTGAAGGGCAATTTCCTATGATTAGAAAATGTGCAGTGCCCCTATATCTACAATTTATTGATCTGATTTTCTTGGAAAAACATGCCATACACTTTTATTAAACTCATCTTGGGAGTACTAAAAAATTGCCGGGTTGGAAAGAGAGCCGTAAAAACTAAAACATTTTTTTTCACTCATATATATAATTCATGAAACAAAATAAATCAAAATGAGGACAGTATTCCGCTAGGAATAGCATCATGCAAACATTCACCTCTCACAAACATGCAGCACTAATTGAATCAAACACATACTTCACAAGCTTTGCAACATCAAATATGATTTACTTAGGTGGCAAATTAGCTAAATGCAGGCGATTCTTCAGATGGGTCTATCTCTGTATGGCGATCTCTGCGTTCATCTACAATCAAGCCAAATATGCAATCCAGACAAACTCGGATGTATGTGTGAGACGAAGATTCATGTTACGTGTTGTGAGTTTGCCTTCCTATTACATTCTCATAACATTGATTTAACAATAGCGTACTGCCAAGATTCATGAGTGTTTGAAGGAGTACTTCGACGTTCGGCCATGATACTAATCGACCATGCTGCATCAACAGAGCCACTTGAAAAAGTAACAAATGATCAGCCGGAATAAGGAACAGTAAACCGTAATATTTATATTTCTAAAACACCAAACTGGCACTATCCGAAACAATATCCGTACAGGAGTACAAAATTCAATGCATTCCAGCCCCTTTCCTTTCCTCCATCTCACGTTAGGCTGGGTCACCACCACTAATATCTAATTGTCAAAGGCTTCATCGTCGTCGTCGGGAAGAGGCAAAGCCTGAGCTTGAGCAAGTTCTGCCTCGTATTGGGCCTGTTGCGCAATGTCGATATGAACTTCAGGAGGAGCCAGTGCAGGAGACTCCACAAAATGCAGGTTTACGTCACTGTCAGAAAGATTCGCACAAGGTCAGAATGTGCTGAGAAATTGCAGAACGTTATTTGCACATCGATACACCGTCGAGTATAAAGATAGATGTCTTCATTTCAATAGGGTCAGATCAACTTACCCGGCAAGCTTTCTAGCAAGATATAGAAAGGGCTTCTCGAAGTTGTAGTTAGACTTCGCAGAAATCTCGTAGTATTGCAGGTTCTTTTTCCTGTGGAAAGTTACTTGCTTCGCTTTCACCTGCCTGTTCTTCACGTCCACCTTGTTCCCGCACAGCACGATGGGGATGTTCTCACACACCCTGCAAAGGTCACGATGCCATGTCGGGACGTTCTTATACGTAAGCCGAGCAGTAACATCGAACATGATGATGGCACATTGACCGTGAATGCTGCAGTACACAAAACATGTCAGTCAGTGAGTTTTAGTCAAGTCAAGCAGTGTTCACACAAGAGGTATCAGCTCTTGAATTTACGTACTAGTAGCCATCACGAAGCCCTCCAAATTTCTCTTGTCCAGCGGTATCCCAGCAGTAAAATCGGATACGCCCGCAGTTGGTGAAGAAGTCAAGTGGGTGAACCTCCACACCGATGGTAGCTGCAAAAACCAGTATTACGCCATGAGTCATTAGTTTCTGGAAACTCAGCTTAAAATCAAGTGAAAACGTCTACAAAATTTACATTATGATGCTGTAAAGAGAATAGTCTGAATGTTCAGATCATACTCACGTTCGTATCTTTTTTCGAATTCACCAGTCAAATGACGCTTCACAAAGGTGGTCTTTCCTGCACCAAACCACCTCATACAGTTGACACTCAAAATACAATCACGCCCACGACCAATAACAAAGCACATATTCAACTCTTCATCTCTTTGAAGGGCGGGAGAGGGGAGGACTCAGGACTCTAAAACCCTTGCAGAGATAAGGAAATACAACAGAACCATAATGCAACATGCAGGGCGAATCCAGCACACATAATTATTGAAATCACCAACAGCTTGTCAGAAATCGCACCTGTGCCTCCGTCTCCGACAATGACGAGCTTAAAGCTTGGGCAGTTGTCGGGGGTTTGCTGCCCTGGCAAAGCCTGCGCAAACAAAACAAAAAAAAAGAGCTAACCATCACCCAACTCCATCTCCCAAGGGCTCGTCCGAGAGATCAAAAACCCAACTGACCACCGAAACGCAAACATGCAAGAACGCGACCCAAATAACACAGCTAACTCATAACCACACCAGGATCGACACATCCCACCACACCAGGATCGACACATCCCACCACACTCAACCAACGAAGGATCCACAAATCTCACACTACCAGGGACATCGAACCCACAGGCGCAAATCCCTAAAAATAGGAACTGGCTATAGAATCCACAAAGCAATCTCCACGCACCGGTCGCTTCGCCAAGACCACAACCCGGCAGCAATCGACGCAGTACGCCACAAACGAGATACAGTTACTGTAGACTACAGCAATTAAATTACTATAAAAATATCGTTATTTGTATTGATTCGAGGAGGGGGGGGTGGGGATAATAAACAATACATACCATGACTCGGAGCTGTGCGGCGATCTACAAAGGCTCAACACGAGCCCGCGAGGCGACGCCAATCTGCAGGGAAGGGGGGAAGGGGAGGAAGCAGCAGAGCCTGGGCGGAGGATTCAAGGGAGCAACGGAAGGGGTAATATGTGAGTTCGAGGGATTTGAACAGGCTTCGGCAACGTCGGAGGAGAGACTCTGTGGACAATGAGCGTAACGGAGCGAGGCAGAGTGCACCACAGACACACAGACAGCCCTCGGAGCCCCGTGAACCGTTGGATGAAGGGGCGCCGGATGCCGTCGATGAGGTGCGCGTGTAAAGATGGCCGTGAGCGTACCAGACCCGTCCTCCTTAGGTTCGGCACCTGCTTCGGATCCAAACCCTATTCCGAGCCGTCACTCTCTCTTGGTTTGGGTGGGGTGCGTTGTTAATAAGCCACCTGGCCCTGCATGGTTGTACGACGGGCTGCCCGTTCCAGGAAGGGGAAAAAAAACAGGTTTCCCGTTCCCACAAGATCGCCCACTCTTGAGAGTTCGATGAATGGTGGGAACGGGGATGGGAGCTCGGGTGGGAACTCGTGCTATGGATGTCGTGTTTCGGTGTTCCCCAGGCCGGGAACAGGGTTCGAATTGAATGCCCCCTCAGCCTCCTCAGCCACTTGGTGATTTGAATCAAGTGCCAGCACAGCTGGATGACGTGGTCATCCGTATCCTATTCCTATCATCGCCACGTCACCGTGCCCCCCCCCCAATTCCAATACACCCACTTCAGGTACTAAAGATCCGTGTTTTGAATTCATTGTAGCAGCGAAACGTGTAGAATCTGGGTTTTAGAATTTTCTCGTTTTGGGTATCAAATAAGCCAAAATGTACAACTACGAAATGTAGACCTGAGTAGAGTTGTTGATAAAATAAAATTTAAATTAATTTACTTTAAACCATGATTTATTGTTTTTTTAAGTAAAAAGTACAAAAATAAATTTGAGTTGGTTCTATGGGAACCGTTTTTGGTGAAATGTTTTGTGGAAAAAATGAATTAAACACTATTGTGTGCAATTCGGAAGTGGTCTATTTGATCTAACTTGGTATTATTCATAGCCAAAATGGGCTTATATTGTAGCTTAACATCTATTTGTGAAGTTGGGTTTAGTGTGACAACAAACATGTGGTAAAGAAATTAAACTTTGTACATATATGTTCTATTTATGTATTTGTGTAAGTAAATAAAAATGTAAACATATTTATACACATTTATGTCCAAATTTGTAAATCATAATCAAAGTTTAAATTGAATTTTTTAATATTATTATTTTTTAAATATGAAAAATGTAAAGATGTAAATAAAAACTATGCTCTTATTTCTGCATCAATGCTTTTGCTTATTTGTAATAAATATATGAGAATATTCTAATTTTTGGAACACCTATAAATTATAATATTTTTGTTGTATTTAATTTAAAACAACCATGTCCTGAGTATTCATCTTCTTTCATCCATTTAAACAGAGTTGATAATGAGTTCATTCTACTGAACTTTTGATTAAAAAATATAAAACCATGTGTACTAAAAAAAAGCTTCTTCCTATATAAGTTAGCTTCTAATTCATCAAAATAAAAAATAATAATAAAAGCACATATGTTTTGCTTTTGCAAAATCACATACTTTAATTATTTTATTTATTTGTAACATATGATTTATTATTATTATTATTATAAATCTAATAAGATTCTAAAGATTCATAATTATTTTTGGAAGAGGTTTAAGTCATAGTTTATTATATGTATTTAACATCACCTCATTTACTAATAACAAATTTAACATATAATTGTACTTTAACAAGTTTACTTCTTTATAACTACAATTGATGAAGTATTTAATTCATCAATTGTAGTTATGATTATGCAGTGCTGATATTTGTAACTTCAAAATCTTAATAGAGACTTAAGAATTCAACTATAAGATTTTGTCATAACCATTGCATGGGTGCACTTAAAATAAAAATTAAATTAAATTAAATTACTTTTGCACATTAAGTACAACCTTATTATAATTAGTTTTTTTACGATAATTTTTGAGAAGATGTTTAAGTCTTAGTATCACAAATTTGTACCATCTAATTAGACACTTTGGAGGTCATTTTTTTAAGATGTTGGTCCCAATCTATACCACCAAAAGTAACCTACATTATAAAAGTTTAATTTTTTTAATACATTTTTAAATTTATATATGTTTTGACTAGTTTTTATAACAAAATCATCACCTAGAATATCTTAGAAATTGAAAGGAACATGGAAATGCACTTCAACTTGCAGTATTCTTCCATGCAATTATTGAGGTTTTGGATCATAAGTATGTACAGTGACAAACAAAACCAAGTACAAAATCTGAACACTCATAATTCATTGATCTTTCCAACTGATACATAAGTCAATTGATAGAATTAGTTTTTTATTGTGTGTATTCATCCAGTCCTCTACATGGATGAAAAATCTCATTATCATTTGAGGTAGGGTTTATGAGAAAAGTGTTGTAGAAGCACACAGACGTGCGTACTCAGTTTTGGTTGCTTCTTCTTGCTGAATTTCGAAATTTCAATGTACACTCCTTGTTGCAAGATTTGAGGGCATTTTTTGTTTGTTGTGTTGCTCTTGTTGTGTACTATCTATAGTGAAAGTTGATTTGTCAATTGTATCTCTATGCCTCGGTTGTGTGAATCATTGAAGCACCAAGCATTGGTGCAGCTTAGGAGTGGTGTTTCTACAAGAAAAGTTGCAGACTCACTTAGAATGAGTCAGTCTTCAGTAGCTCATCTGAGGAAGGAGATTAGTGGTGAAATAGAAAAGCAAAGAGGAGGACGTCCAAAGGTTTTAGGAGAGCAAGAGAAGCGACTTGGTGTGCACCTTGTCACTACTGGTTGTCTCAAAACGGCAAGTGCAGCTGCAAAACAACTTCGAGAAAAAACAGGTAAACACTTCTCAGACATCACCTTGAGGCGTGGTTTGAGAGAAGCTAGTTTGGGTGCTTGTGTGCAACAAAAGAAGCATCTACTTGCCAAAAGACATGTTCTTGCAAGGTTGAGTTTTGCTCATAAATACAAAAATTAGACCGTTGATGATTGGAGACGGGTTATTTTCACTGATGAGACAAAGATTAACCTAATCAACTCAGATGGTAGGTCTTGGTGTTGGTTGAGAGAAGGAGAATGACCTGGACCTAAACATGTTAGTCAAACTATCAAACATGGTGGTGGTTCAATTATGATTTGGGGTTGTATGACTGCTTTTGGGCGGGGTGCTTGGTATCAAATTGAAGGTAGAATGGCGCAACACTTATACAAAAAAAATTTAGAAACCTACTTGCAAAGTACCACACAGAATTACAACTTAGATCCTACTAAGGTGGTTTTTCAACATGATAATGATCCCAAACATACGACAAAAAGTATTCAGTTTTGGCTCTCTTCACAGCCATTTCAGCTCCTTCGATGGCCAGCTCAATCTTTAGATTTGAATCCAATGGAATATTTTTGGGTCCTTCTCAAACAACGTTTAAGCCAAGTCACTCCAAGGCCAAGAGGTGTTCAAGAATTGTGGGAGAATGTTTGTAGTATTTACCCTAGTTTTGATGCAAAAGATTGTGAGAAACTATACAAAAGTATGCCAAGAAGGATTTCAGCTGTTTTGGAAGCAAAAGGTTATTGAACTAAATATTGAAGTTTGAAGATTTTCTTTGAACAATACTGAGTACAAGACATAGTTGTTGATTTGACTTTGTAGAAGGATGTTTAGTTATCAATTTGATGTGCAACTTTGTACATGTGTACAAGACTGTGTGTATTATTCCATGTAACTTTCAGATTTATAAAGCAATCATTGAAATTTCTGTAATTGCTCTTGAAAGTTGGCACTTCAGATTTTGTACTCGGTTTTGTTTGTCACTGTATAAACAATATCGTATATCTATATGTAAAAAATATACGTGGATGAATGAAGGTTTGTATTGGATGTGATCCCATTCAAATCCAATTCTGGTTCATCCAGAATGCATTCAAATGCAGTGGAATCCCTTATCGGTAATACATCATCGGAGGGAACCACGGCGCCCTAAAACCGCGCGAGGGTTGACGTGACCTTTCACCGTGACTGTGCTGGCGGAGCTGCTTCCATTACCATTGCAACTTATCACCTCTTCCATGAATCGTATTTCACTGGCTACGTCGTCCAAGTTGCTGCCCTTGTTTAATTTAATTTCCCTCTGTTGTTTCTTTCTGTTGTAGATTCCTCATTGCAGTTGCATTCTCTGTCCTGTCTTCTTTACACTGTCTCTTCTTCAAACCAGTCAATCCTCTTGACGCCGTGGACGTTCTCACAAATCGTTGTAATTTCATCCGCATTCTTGTTTGTGAGAGATTCCAGTCTGGCATAAGGCAGCTGCACGATGTCGCTGAGTATCCTCCTGCCTTTGGACGTGTTGCCTGCTGGGGCATTATGAGTGGATTTACGTGAGGTATTAGTTACTGAAGTTTTGGTGTAATCTCGACAAGTGTTTTGTTTTGTTTTTTTCCTCGAACTTCTCTCTTTTGAGAATTGGTTTACACTGTCGAAATAGGAAAGAGCTTATTCAGAATGACAAATCAAGAAACCTTCACGATTGAAACGTCCTCTATCTTTCTGGATGCGTCGAGATCCTCCTCGTTCCACCGCTCTTGTTCTTTGATGTTTGAAGACGACGAATCGAACCGAAGAAACTTTCCACCTTCGTTGTCTGTTACAACTCTGGATATCCACCTCGTTAGTGCTCAACCTCAGTGTGATGTCTCTGCACACACAGAGTCTTCGAGTGATCTTCTTTGCAGGAACGCTACGCCAGATTTTCCTGCTTGCCCGACGCTTTCATCCCAACGCCTTCACAAGATCGATGACGTCAATGGTAGCAAAGAGTCGGTGATCACTAGGACAGGGAAGTGCCTGGAGAAGCTCAGGATTTTCGTAGGGTTTGACTCTCGTGAGGAAATCGCGTATGATGTGTGCAGGCATTCAATCCTCAGGCATGCCACTATCGACGTAGAGATTATTCCTCTAAAGTTGCAGAACCTCGTGGAACAAGGCCTCTACGCACGCTCTCGGGAATCCACGGAAAGTACCGAATTTTCCTTCACGAGGTTTCTGACGCCATTCCTTGCAGGTTTCGAGGGCTGGGCAGTGTTTGTTGACTGCGACTTCCTGTACACGACTGATGTGCGGGAGTTGGCTGAGCTTGTTGACGATCAGTTCGCTATTATGTGCGTAAAACATAATTACACTCCTAAGGCGACAGTCAAAATGGATGGGGTTGTACAAACTTCTTATCTTCGCAAGAACTGGTCTTCAATGGTGCTGTATAATTGTTCACATCCAAAGAACAGGGTGCTGACCCCGGAACTAATCAATTCTGAATCGGGCGCGTTTCTTCACAGGTACGTGGCATCCTAACTCCGGCGCACTGCAGCGAGTTGGAAAATTTTGAAATCCTAGTCAGAACTGCTTTGGATGAGTTCGAGAATTGTATCTCAACTTTACTGAAGCTTTGTGTCCTGCATTACATGCGTGGCGGTTCTACCCGATATGTTGTGTAAATCTGAACTTCAATAAGGCTTTAACTATCACAATTACTCCAACGAATATTTCTTACGAATTGGAAATAGAAGCACTTCGCTTCAACTGGAAGTGCAAGCCCGATGTCGGAAAGTAGAGACCAAAACTCGTATTAATACGTTCTTCTCTTCCAGCAAAATTAATGGTTCCTTCCGGACACTGCATCAATAATGGCCTTGATTTCGGATGATCATTTCCAGGTCACGCTGTCGTGATCGCACTTGTGCGAGAAGAAGGCCTCAGCATAATTCAGCATGTTTCCATCTGTGAAGAAGCTCCTCAATCGCGAGTTTAGATCCTTTCATGAAACAATTAATTACGGAACCATACATGACTCTCTGCACAGCTCACATAAGATGGACCTTTGGATACTTTTGTGGAAGAACAACACAACGTCCTTAGATTGTTCCAACGTTTCCACTTTTTGTGTTGGATATCTGGGCACTTGTTAGGATAATCCCTTCCACAAGGAAATGTGCATCATCAAACTGCGGCTCCTGAGAGTCTAATTCGCATGCCAGCTGCTACTTATAAATGTATCCACTATAAGTCGGATATGGCGTGTTCTGTTTCATTGAGTCGGAAGGGCGTTTGTTCAGGTTTATGTGGCTAGAGGATGTAGAGATCGGCGAAATTCCTTTCACTTGGAATTTCTTAGTCGGCCACAATGAAGTTCCTGACGGGGGAGCATCGTTACCCAAGGCTATCCATTTCACATGCGGGGGGCCCTGGTTTGAAGCCTGGAGAGACTGCGAGTTTGCCGATTGCTGGCTGAAGGAAAGAGACGACTATTTGAAGACACAAACTTCTTAACACTTGTGAAAAAGGAGCATGAAACGACGAAGAAATCACTCTGATGGGGGAAAAGTAACGAAACAAAGCAATATTCATATATTTCACCGTCTAAATCGAAGAGTTGTTTCCTGTGTCGTGCAGACACATACCTATTCGTCAATGTGAACTAGAGGCGCCTCTGGTGTGTAACCTAAAAGGCCGGTTTAGTTTTCAATGTATTCCATCTCCTTAAAATCCAATATTTTTTATGATTCAACGTCGAGTTAGACTATCCCCTGTGCTTGATCAGCTTTGATTGAAGCCTACTCCTCCTAAGTCCCCACATTCGCAAATGCCTGGAGGCCATGTTGCTACGGCCACATCGAGAGTCGCTTCAACTTTCGTTGACCTACGTGAGTGTAGGTTGACGTGAATCTGGGGCAGACATCCTCCTATCCTGTGGTTGAATCGAGGGTTCATGGCTTTCTTTGATAATATCTCCGACTTAAACGATGTTCTATTACCTCTACATTTATTAAAAATTTTGCTATCACCTTGATTCATTCATTTTTATTCATTCATTGTCCAAGGCTATCTGGTTGATAATTTGATCCTTGGGAACTTAATTGTTTTTCCCAAAATATCACGCTCAAGCTGCGAGATGTAACAATTATAAGAAACAAATGTAATTACACAAGTCCAAATCTAAATGGAGGATATCACAGTAACGATTCGAAACACTCAAAGCGTGATTGTCGCGCGACGGCGCAAACCACCCAACAGAAAATTAACTAGTATCAATCACCATGTAGACCCAAACTGGAGCAGTCGTTTCTTCCATCAAAGCTGTGTGTTTAACTCATAATTCCCTGGAAAAGTTTCAGGTATAAGAGCGAATTTTTTCATAATTGGGACGAGGAATAAAGGAATACTACAGAAAGTTTTCTGATAGTGTATACCTCAACACGCTCCATCGCCTTAGTGTTTGCGTTATCGAACAGGACTACCGGAATCAGTAAGCCTGCCACTTTCATACCCCACGATCAAACCCAAGGACTCCGCCAAACAACAGCTGAGTCTTTTCTCAGCGTGAGATCTAACATGAGATCCTCACTACCTAAAAGACGGATTGCTCATAGTTGAATGGTACAAAGGTGCATGATAGCACTCTCAAAGAACTAACATAATACATAGATGATTCTTGCAGAACAGATCCTGCTCACACCACGTTCATTACTCTCACCCTATAACAATCATGGAATACCCATCTTATATCAACCTCCGTCCGCGCAGCCAAACCTGTGGTCTAGCTTCCTTAATGATAGCCAACTAAACAGATCGCCTATCAGATAATGAGGTAGTCTATATGCTTCTAGGTTTCCTAGAATAATCCTCGCCAGCGATTACAGAATGATCTCATCTTGGACGCTAATATTGAGAGTCTTGTGAGGTAGGATGATGCAATTAACAACAACAGTCTCATCTTCAACGTCCACACCCTCTCCTGCAATTAGTTAAAGCAATTGGGCTGCAAGTTAATAATGCGTCACACAACAAACTCAGTCGCCCTTCTGTAGCGCCTACTACAAAAACAAGACACTAAAGATAGTCATAAAATGATGTCCTTCTCTGCAAATAATCTCCAAATACATTCAAGCAGGACAAAACCAAGCTCCAACCACACGACTATAAAGAAGTATGTATTGAAAATGGATTAGCAAACGAACCGAGGATGGTGATGCCCAACTTGGCATTGTAATCACCTCCTCCCTGCATCAATAAATGATCAAAGGATACCATAACGTGTAAGCGGAATTAATTTACAGACATCACTTTCTAAGATTGGCATAAATCACTAGTGGCAATACCTCTCCTCACCTTCTAAGTTTTAAACTTGATTTACTTTTTTTAAAAATTGCTCGTATTTAATTTAAAAACTTCCTAACGCATGTCTGCACAGAATCATTACCTGAACTCGGGCCCATCTTCCAAGCGAAGACTTCCAGCCCACTATAGAGTGCATCACGACAGCATTTTCCTGAACGTTTTTCAAAAATTAAATAAGGATGCAAGGTGACATGCTGGGAGTGACACAACACATGTGAAATATACCAGAGAATCTCGCAAGTCCAATAATATCATTAAGTAAGATTTCTAGAGAATCGTAACACTGTCGATCAACCTTGAGTTTTGCAGCAGGGAAATGCGTCGATGTTCCTTCAACTTGGTAACTCGCAGACACACTATCTAAAAGCAGCTCAAAGACGTAATTTTCTAAGCGTGACGACCGATAAATATCAGTTCTTTCAAGAAAAGGATCTGCTGTATCTGTAAGATTGAAGATTGAAACGAAGTACATACCTTGATTTCAACATCATCAAGAATAATACAATGTATGAGTCGAGCTCCAGGGCCAATACGAGCATTGGCTGATATTGAGACATTAGGCCCTAGCTGTTCCCACATCATGGAGTTATTTTCACAATCAGTTAGACAATTTACAGCTTCAAGATCAACAAAACAACGTAGGAAGGCTTCAATTTTTGCAAATAAATTCAAACTACTCGAAGAAGAGCAACTCGGACGCAAATGCAGGCACTGGATTATTTGTGTTACCTAGAATCTAATAGGACAAAGGATTAAGAACCAAAGCCATGGTCAAAACAAGCAGGGACAACTTTACCTTTGCAGTTGGATGCACCTTGGCAGATCTATGAATAAAGACATCTCCGATTACTGTAGGTGACTTCTTACCATCTCCAGTTGCCAAAAGCTCAGGCATTGTCACTCTGTACTGTGCTAAGTAGAGCAGCGAGCAGCGGATAGACATTCTGGAATTCAATTTTCCCCTCATCAGTAACCACGTGCCATCGTGTCCTTACAATGCCACGAATGAAAAGTAGAGACAGCGACACCATGTATTCGTTATGACCAAAGAATACTGTTGATTATCAAGGCAACAAAGAGAACGGCGACACATACTATACCACCTTCCACCGCAAACTACTGACTATCAACGTGAAAACTAAGCTGGTGACATAAAGATTTCAGGATCTGGAACAGAAACATGTTTCAACCTAAGAATAGGACAGATAGAATTGAATGCACCCGCAGGCATCCACAAAAGAGATGTCCCACAACATAAGCAGAGAGAAATTCCAGATTTTAATTACAATAGGAACTCATTTATATAGAATTGGCCAAAAGCACTTCATACGCACAATCTATCGACATCCCAACGACAAAAAGTAATCTTTTAATCTACAGATACGATGTAGGAGGTACAATAAAATCAGTCTTTAGTAAAGAAATCATAATCAGAAGTACTACAAGATTCTGCACTCACCCAGGTGTTTTAATTTGCTCCCAGAACTCATTGGTTTCAAAGGTGTAGAGCTTCTTCTTGCCAGCTGAAGGGGTTAGAATATCTTGATCAAGCCTCACAAAATCGGCCTGCAGTGTGTACCTACCAACACATCCAGTATTCATTGTTAGAAACTACCGTTTAGTGCTTCTTTCATTATGGTACATTAAGTAATCATTCTTAAATAATATCTTTAACTGATGCAAATAGAAAGCACGTGATACGAAGGCAAGTACAGCCCCAAGGAGACTTTACTTTTTCCAGCTCGAACAAAATAAGAGAGAAAAAGTCCCCTATCTATCTCACCAAGGACCTCGGCACTTACTTGCTGCTACTTGAAATGGTAAGAGCTTCAAAGCTTGACAGCCGACGTACGACAGCTGCAGAATTAGTTCAAAGCTACATTTTAAATTCAACTAGGATGAGATGATAAAATACTAAGAACATCCGACATATATATTGATGTTGAAAACGCTCTTATATAGCAAAATATGCTTTTGCATGTAAAATTTTGTGATGCATATGCTATCCAGCCAGAAGCTAGGAGCCAAAAAATATGACTGAAGCCAACCTCAACAACCTCAATATACAATAGAAAACCTCTAATAACGCCTATTGTTATTGTTATAGCATGACTGTATTAATTGCCAAAACAACCTTCACATATCAGTTTAAAAAGAACTAAAATCATGACAAGGAGGAAACTGTTCTTCAGCTACAACTGAGGACACCAAAAAGCTTACATCTTTCGTGCTTGCTGGAAGTAACATCTTTGATGACTCTAAAAATTTCTGGTGTGAAGATATAAACCCCACAATTGATAAAGTCGCTCACCTGCAGAACTACCAGAATGTCAAGGAAATTCATGGGATGTTTGTTAAACTTAGCGGGTAGCGACTGAACTACCCTAGAAGCACATAATTGAGATGCAACGTACAAATTCCCACCACATTCTGAGCAAATACTTAAACTAATTACCCAAAAGATGCTTTTCAATAAATCAGTACAAGCAGGATTCTCATCTGACTCCGTCTTAAACAAGACAAATAAAATTCCAAAAGTAGTAGGTTCAGAAGCTTACAAACGTCTCTGGCTTCTCAGCATAATGAAGTAACTCGCCTGTTTTAGGGTCCGCCACCAACTCGCCAAATTCACTAGCAACTTCTTTTGACACCTACAGACCACAAATATCCCCATAAGACAAAAAAAAGCTTCAACCGATAGTTTAACCGCAATAAGAATAAACAAAAAAATAACATAAGAGGTAAAATTAAAAAGGGAAGATACCTTCTTAACTAAAAGCGTGCCCATACCCCCATGATTTCTGTGAGCCTCTGCACGGTAATGAACAAAGACAATGATGTAATAAGATGTAAAACATTGCAAATTCTAACACGACGCGCCCATAAGTGCCTCCAAACCTTCTCAATAATCACGCCGAAGTATATGCATCGTAAATTCGTGAATAAAATATTGGACTCACGTGTCCTATCTCACAAAATACTAGGTCAGAACCATTCTCAAACTCGTAAACAGATTTGCAAACCGCAAGCTTACCAAGCATGTCAGTCAAAGGAAAACTGCAGCAAACATCGCAATTCAATACAATAATATCAGCCTGCAAGAAACAAAGACATCACTTGATGTCAGTAATATGCTTGTGTACTAGGCAAAGGTAAAAGTACGATCGTTTAACACTGTTATCGTTTCCCTGCAACGAAAGTACTGCAGATTTTGTAAGCACCAAGGCTGCAGCATTGCTTAAAAAAATAATGCTGAACATTAACAGTTACTTGACAAACGATAGAGCACTAGACGATGTCACAGATTTGTAAAACAGCAGTTTCACAAAGCATTCAGCAGAAATTTTCAAGAACAGTAAATGCACACGAGGAGACAAGGAAAGGCAAGCCTTACAGGATCGTCTTCCATGATTAAGTCCTGAAATTTGTAAAGGCCACCCGCAGATCCATGAGGCTTGTCTTCACGCAAGTACCTGTGACCAGCTTAAAGCGCTAAATTACTACTAACCAAGGGCAAATAGAAAATAGTCGCGTTAAATGAAACGAAGAGAGTGACTGTTCAATAAAGGAACACTAATACGCCACATAAGTATTCTGGCTCACCTCACGGGAACTTTGAGCTCATTTGAAAGTGTAGAGATGTACAAGGAAAATTCCCTTTCCTCATAAAATCCTATAAGATATACCTGTGCCAAGTCCGGTATCTGCAACGAGTACAACACTTACATCCAAACATTCAGACATCGCGCCTTCATCTAATGCGCAGAATGCAATCAATTGTTTATACCTTACAACTGAGGTCATAATGAAGAAACGTGTGAAGGGTTTACATTGCACAAATCGATTGCAGAATGATCTATGTTAAACCCTTATTTAATGATTAGACTTCCCCATTTCTAAGATAAATAATCACAATGCATACCTTTTTGCAAGCAAGAATTGGATGGTGTACCATGGGCTGGCCCGCCAAGGGAAACAAAGGCTTCGCCAAATTGAATGAGAGAGGCCTAAACCGAGTACCTAGTCACAGCCAGATTACAAGGGCAGATATTCAAACATCTCAGTTGCTTGAATACATTCAAAAACTGATGAAATAAGAGGTATGCTTCTCAGTGTAAAACATTCGCAACATCCACGGCGCTATTTGTAGCTCTTGATGTTGATCGATGCGTCCAAAATCTAGCAGGTTGACACAGTACCAAAACCTCGACTGCAAACGTGCACTTGTAACCCTTAAAAGTAGGTAAAATCATGTTCGCTTGGTAAAAACAAAAGCGAAAAGGAGCAAAACTTATCACAAACCAGGTCCATGTTGCGCGCTCTAAACCCGAGACAATTCGATAAGAAATCTACTTGCAGATGCATACCCTAATTTGTGTTCAGCTCACTGGTCTAGAACTGAGACAGTCTGTAAAGAAATCTGTAGTTCTGAAATTATACCTTTGGTAGGTCCGCCCATCAAGATGACGGCCACGGTCTTCTTGTGAGAGACCGTCGTATCCAGCGCGTCATTGGTTGTCTCCATTTCCTAAACGCCCTAGTTTAATTCGCATGCAACAATTGATGCAGGTCCCACTGATGACCAACGAGGGCAGAAGTTGATCAGACACAATCACACTACTATTTTGAATAACCTCCTTGCCGCGTTGTGTTCACTCTCATGTAGAGAAAAATACAATCCAACTCGCCAAGTACCGTTCAATGCGCACACTCTAATACTGCAAAATACACCAATATGTTTTATTTTTTCAGCCATTACATTCAAATCCAGCTCTGGGAGGTTGAGCTGGCAAACATGACTGATCCGTCTGATTCGATCATCACGATTAATCAAAATAGCGCAACTTCATTGGAACTCGACGACATGTACGTAAGAGCTTAAGAGGACTGATACAAAAGAGTCCTGCTACTGCGCCTCTCCCAACGAAATGTAGGGCAAAAAATGCGGAGATAAAAAAGGATTAAAAAATTAAACAGATTTTTACAAAAAGAATGGAGGAGAGGAGTAATCACTACACATACACATAAATAAACTAGTCAGGAAAACATGTCGGCATTCTTTGCTTTTCCCATACTAGGTCAAAGAGAATTTGTGCAAGTGATGGAAAACATACGACAGAACGAAAACATGCATAACTGTGCTCTCTTTTGGAGATTCTGGCCAGATCCGTTCACCTTTCACAACCTACTCAACCATTTCACTCTAGATCCATTGCGTAACATCTCTCGATTTGAGGTAATCAAGGATATGTCGTCCCCTTCAATCATCACAATGAAACACTCGAATTATTTATCTGTCGAACAATCCACTCGATTTCTTCGCACACCGGTAAATGTTTAGCTCGTTCAACTATTGCTGTCTTCCAGGTAGTAGCTCTAAGTCGACGCAGTAAAATGCGATCGCATGAAAACTATCCATCAAACAAAATAAGAAAAAACACTCTTGAACAACAAGTAAAAAAACGAATCAAGCAACAAGCTCTCTCGCAGCTCCAAGCGATGAAGCGCAGAGAAACGAACTCTACATACCAAGTCCACTTTCTGGACTCCGCCTCTGACAACAGAATCTTCACAAGCCACTCCACCACGCAACTAACGCCACCACGTGATCAAAAAAAAATCGAGATTCATTCCCTAACACCGCGGATGGATTGTGGCCCGAGAGGAGCCGGACAGCACTCAACCAAACTCTCATGCGCCAGACTTCGGCCACAGCTGAAACCAATTCGGAACCAGAACCCTCACGTGCTATTGTCCTCTTCCAGCCATCGCTCCCCAGCTCCAAGGCCTTCCTAAGCTGCAATCAGCACCCTACCGTAGGGAAGTAGACGATTATTTGCAAGTTTATGTCCAATGTCTCCGACCTCGTGGCGGGACCGTAATCTATCATAAGCAACAATCTCGCAATAGTTCACCGCTTCTCTCGGCGCACAGAATTTATTTTTACAAGCTTCGGCGTGAAGCGCAGCAAGACGTTAAACGGGGCTTAATACGACGGCATCGCAATAATGTAATCAGTCCGATGAAGGAAACGGTAAGCATATACACGACACCTGCAAATCCGAAGCGGGTGTGGGAATCTTTGTAGAATATTCTTACTTCAATTATAGAGCCCCGTCAGCATTCCAATCCCCTTTGTGTATATGTTATGGCTTTGTGAGAAGACCTGGTTTTAATTTTTGTGCATTGAAGCATTGGACATCTTCTCATTTATTGATTCTAGTTGACACGTCAACTGGTAAAAATAAAGAAACAGCTTTTCTTGGTATTGATTAAGGTGAAGGATGTGCTGATGATTGAGTGTGGAATGTAGAGAATTTTGTATTGGTTTTTGTGAGTTTATGGATAGGCTATTTAGATTAATGACCAAGTTATTGAGTTTGGAGATTGAACTACAAGACGATGGCATGTACATCCATGGTTGTAAAGTAGTTCTAAAGAGGTTGGGGTTTTATATCTCAATAGTGAAATATCAATGATATGGGTGGACCTTTTACAAGGTTTATCCCTATTATGTTAAAAACAAAACAAAACAACACAAATAAACAAACACACAAATTGATGAAATTATGTGTGTGTATAGGTACCTCATATTACAAGGGCTATTGGAGCAACAAGCAAGTGACGTAGCTATGTAAAGTGTCTAGACTTAGTAACACTCACACCAATTAATAGTAATGAACATAACCTCCAACCCTATGCTACTCTACCACAAGTTGATTGTGTCCACTACCAACATACACTTTGTAATGGTTCACAATTGTCTAATGCAATGACTAACCCATCTTTAACTAGTCTACCTTCTCTAGCCCAAGCTCAAGCCCTTCCTCCAAGTTTAGTGAGAACACTGAGAACATCTCTTATCTCCCAGTTGCTGCTCTCATGCTTTAGCCAACCTTGTGCCATTGGGCATGTGTGTTTGTTTTGATAGAGAATACCTTATTTGTGCTATGCTTTGTAAATATATCTTATGTACTTTTTCAAAAAATTTATGAATTTAAAAATAAAAATAATATTTGGTTTGATTTTTGAAATAAAACTTATCAATTATAAATATTTTGGACCTTGTGTAATTTGGATGTAAAATAATTAAGAATCAAAGTATTTTAAATGTTAAAAAATATGTAGTAATAGATATAAAATAAAAAAGTTTACAAAACTTCTTTAAGACTATGGTATCAAACATTGATTATAATGTATTATAATTGCAACAAAATATAATAAAAAAAACCATTAGATACAATATTATAGGAGATATCTAATGGGTGTTGTAGTGCAATTAATATACATGTATTATTAGTATAGATTTTTAAATTTAGTTTCAAGTTTTGTTTATTTCATTTGACTTTATCCTAAAAATCAAAAGATCAAAAAATTATGATAGATATGAAACTTGTTTCTGCCTGGTTTAATTTGCAAAATATTAACCCCAATTTGGTGAAGATCATTTATAAAAAATAGTCTTGATATGAATAAATTTTAAAGACTTTAAAAATCAACATATTTTATACTAAATAACTCTAAATAACTTTAAAACATATTTTTTTGAAGTGCATATATTAATCTCTTCACACAGTTTATTAAACTCAATTTATTAAACTCTTCACACAGTTTAAGTTTCTTTAAGTAATTTACAACCTCCTTATGATAAAATAGAAGCCAAACACAATTTACTAGCATATTTGCATAATAATAATAATAACAATAATTACAACAACAATTCATTTCTATAAAATATTATTCAGTCAACCACCAATTATGCAAACATTAGTTCATACTTTTTATAATCCAAACACAAGACAAACACAAGAATTGACTGTATCAAAAACAAACCACAACCCAATTGACAATTTCGCGGATGCAAATTCCACTCCATTCCAATTCACTTACTGTTGTATTAAACTTTTATTTTATTTTATTCCGTTTACTATAATCTACGTTTCCAGAAATCATCAGCATCATAGACGTGAAGCTCCATCTATGTGAAATATGACTCCGCTTCAAAGTAATAGAATATATCATATGTAACATCCCCGCTGTGTGCAGTACAAACTAGCAAAAATCATGGTTCGGCGATCAGGCACAGACCAATCGCCGCACAAGACGAGTCGAAGAATCGGAGTTCGGGCTTGCGGGCTGCTGGAGATGAACATCGCCGAGATTTAAGTGTCTCACTGAACTGCATCGATGCAATCTGATTGAGTTCTGTAGTAAGTGGCCAATCTATCCTTCAAGATCAGCCCACATGCCTCCCATCTGTGCACCGTAACTGCAGATTGATCCAGTTGTGATCCATTCCACACACTCCTCGACTTTGGATTAGCATTCTGTCATGGTCGAGCTTGCGATTGAGTTTCGACTCTCTTTGTATCGTTGCACTGGTTTTAGCCACATCGGATGCTTGCAAGGATGATTATGTTAATCGATGTTTTATGTCATGTGAGTTCGTACTAGATCCGGTTCGGCGGGTTTGAATTGTGCCAGACGAGTCGAGGACAGTCGGACGTGTGGACAATATCTGTATTGTGACCTCGTAGATTCAGGCCTTTGATGGTGTTGGTTTTGTGGAGTTTTCTGGGACCGTTGGTGAACAGTCTTGGACTTTCTGACGAGGAGACTGGGTTGTTTTTGTTGTTGTTGCTGCAGGTTATTAGATGGCGAAAGCGATTCGTGGCGTCGGGTTCTTGCTGGTTTGCATGCGAGTAGTTCTGCAGGAGGTCCCGCGTATGACAGTGGGAGCTGTCGAAACCGTTTCCAGCGACGAAATAACAACCGACTTTGCCAGAGGCGGTATTGATGTGGCAGGCCTCATCAGACAAGACTTAATCACGCTGCCGTTGGTGGGCTTCTGTGGTCTCGCTACTAAATTGAGAACGCCCCACAGTTTGGAGACGGCAGTGGTGCTTGGGACGTTCCGCACGACGTTCGAGTTTCTGCCAGAGGACTCACAAGAGAGGTCTCGACGGCGGGTACGAGTGGAATGCGAGTTGAGCGTCATACTCCCATTGCAACGACGGGTTCCAATATAACTGCACTCGAGAGCTTCAGCCCAACGGAAATCTGGTGGTTTAGGCTCCACACGGTGCACAGCGTTGGACGAGCAACAGGACTTCATGGACTACGCATTCCTGCACACTCGTTCTACTCAGGAATGGAAATGTGGGTATGTATGAGATGATCTCCGGTGCCGTTATTTGGAAGCCACTCCCTGCGAAGACATTACGCCTCTGTGGATCCCTGCTCGTGGCCGATGTAAAGATGGTCCAATTTTCATCTGGTAATCAAAGTTAGGCAGACGGACTGGACGCGTTGATCACAAAGCCCAAGGAAGACCGGCATTACGTTTGAGCTTCTGTAAAACCAGACTGGCGTAGCCTTCAAGTTAATAGGGCTCCTACTGAAGATACCTATTAGCGATAGTTCAAAGGAAAAAAAAACACCAATCCTTCTTGCTAGCTGTCAGCATCGTTTGGCTTGAGTAAGGTAACTTCGAGAATAAAGTCGACAGTTCAATGACCAGGAAGCAATTGAAAGAAAAACAACTATGGAGATAAACACTGCAGTCAAACTGCATTCTATTTCTTCAAATCTGTAAACTTAAATCCTGATTGGAATGAAGGTATACGTCTTACAGATGTCCTCATTAAAGAAATCGAACGTTATCTGATAACCATGCTTATTCAAATGTATGGTAAAAGTTCAATCCTCACACAGAATCAGAGAATTTATTCGTACTGAAAGAGACCGTAAACAGAAGTCTAGCTTCTGTTGTTCAAAACAGGTCTCGATCACCGGCATATATGCTTGCCAGCCCTAATTTGAGCCATTTAGTGCAATTCCATCGGCTTTATAAGAAGAGAATTTTTATTCTGCATCAGAGCACACAATTGCGCAATCATCGGCACCGTGCATAAGAAAAATCATGAAATCTTTTCATGAGACCAAAACCTTGTGAATCAAAGTTCAATCGAGTCTTAATATGATCTGCAAGCAGCTTAGAGGGTGGCGAGATCGAGAGGTGGGGTTACTACACTCGCCATTATGCTACAGAATTACTTACTCCCGCAAACTCTCGTGCTGAAAGCAACAGCGCCACATCGCTGTGGAAGCGTAAGGGCAGCTTCTTTGTTGAGTCCGGGAAGTTCAGTCGTACCGACCGCCTCACACAGACACAAAATGTCGGCGGACTTAACAGCAATGCAGCATTCTTTGGTTGGCGAGGGCGGCGTCGTGCCCATCACAGCAGGCAAACAGGGTTTGTAAGGCGACAGATCGGTGCTACACGCTGCATGCACTGACGACACCGTCGCCATAGACACCAGAACTAAAATCACCGCAAAGCTCTTCATGGCGGGTCTCTGCATGACATCATAGTAGTTCATCATTTCTCTAGAACATGAAAGTCTATCTTGTTAGGTGGATGAGGCTCCCCTTGCAAATCTGCAAAAACATTCTCTCACTGTAAACATTGTGATTGACTATGTCTACGCTTGAAACAAGATCATCTCCATTCGGAAAATATAGTGTTCAGAATTGAGAAGAACATGGAACATGGTAGGAGAGGAGATTATACTTCTTTGAGCAGATGCTTATGCAGGGAATGATTAAACTGCAAGAGAGATGTAACGGTTCTACGGGGGGCAATTAATTGAGTGTTGCAGAGACTTATTTATGAATCTACTGCCAGGCGAGGATGTGCCAAGAATAGTTGTGGACGTGGAGCCGGCTGGATCTTGCATGGATGATGCGCCCATGCTCCATTCAATGGCCTCGGTTCTTGGCCATCTCCAACCATTCCATATCTCAGGTCCATAACTACGGGTGGGCATGGTTATCAGCGGCAGGGCGGTGAGTACAGCGTTCTTTCAGCGAACTCGCTCCACAAGCACATTCTGCTGTTCATTTCTGCTGATCAGGGCATCACAAACTTAATAGATAGGTTAATACAAGTACTCGCTAGCCAAACTCCAGCAAAGAATGATCTCAAATTAGTTATCACTAGGTTAAAGCAAGCAAACCATTCACGAAATTGGAATAGGGGAATTAGCTTTGGTGTCCATCAAAAGATGGCGAAAGAATCCAATGCGCAGTGTTAAGAATCAGAGCCTGAGGACTTGGCATCAGGCAGAAAAAAATTCTGGTGTCTCTACCTGTATCCTATCCTATCCTATCCGAGAATTAACTTCTACAGAAAATTTTGTTTCAAGGACAATTAAGATGATCGTCCCTTGAAAGGCTTAGACATTAGGTGGCCATTTGGTGCCTGACAACCTCATTGCCACTAAGACACAGGCATCCGGGAAAATACCCTGTGTCTGACTCTGTTCTAATGACGGCGCATGACAATCTAGATGTAAATTGTGTCGCTAGCCCACCTCTCATCAGCTTAACGTAAATCTGGAAAGCAATGACCGGGGTGCTGCTGTGGCCGCATCTACAACTGCGGCTGCTCCACTTAATGGAACTTCAGCTGAGGCCCGCATGTTGTAAGCCTCTTGACATCGGTGCATCTCATCTGGACTGAACTGAAGAAGCATTGCAATCACAGGCAGTAGAGCCTCCACCTCTCCAGTTTCCAACAACTTTAAAATCACATTCTTTACATAAGTCATATCTACAGTTGACCGCTTCTGATTTCGTTCAGAATTGTGATATTCTTCTTTAAGAATTGTAATCTGGTGACAACGGAGACGATTTTCCTGTTCCCGTTCCTTGATTTCCTCCTGGAGTGCTTCAATATGGCGCAAGCACCTAGCTACTTCCTCTTCTTTCTGTGCTTGTAGCCGGGCCAATATCAAAATCTGCTGCTCTGCAAGAGGTGGTGGCGGTGAACTGGTTACTGACTTGATTGTAACTACACTTGATGCCTTTTGAGAGAGATGCTTTTGCAAAGAGTTCCTGTCCTCCAAAAGACGCATCATTTCTTCATCCTTACTTGACATCATAGAATTTGTCATTTCCTTGTAGGACTCGAACTCCTCCTTCAGATGTTTCTCTGCAAGCCGTATGGCAGTGATTTCTCTCTCTAGATCTTCATTAACAGGCGTGGGTGTTGTAGCAGGCACCTCTGATTTCAAGGATAAAGACTCTTCTGCTAGATTCAAGCGCCGTTCATATTCAGCCTGCTGGGACTTCACCAAAGCTTTGCTCGATTCAAGTTGAGTCGCCAAATGTCTCATGTGAAGCTCTGCCTCTTCAATAGCACCAACCTGTGCGTCAAACCGACGCTGATAATCAGCTACAGTTGCATCTAGCTTTCTCATTACTTGGTCTCTGGCTGCGGAAGCTGCTGTAGCCTCTGCCTTCGCCTCCTCGAGAGCTGATTCCAGTGTTACTATTGATGAAGAATCCTGGGCAGCCTGCAGTGCTGCCTCTTTTTTCTGCAGTAGGGCATGGGCCCTCACCTTGTAAGCAGCTAGTTCTTGTCCTTGCAATTTAGTCTCAACTCTGGCCGTAGCAAGCTCGACTTGAGTAGCACTCAGAATCTGACGGCAGCGGTCAAGTTCAGACTCGAGCTCACTTCGCGTGTCTCGAGCCCTTATCTCCACTTGATCAATCCACAACTCAGCTGTTTTTAACTTGTCCATCAATAATAAAATACTTGACTTGTGTTGCTCCCGCTCTGTTTCACGCTCTTTCTCGTGCTCAGATTGGATCCGCTGTATGTCTCCTCGAGCTGCATCTAACAAGGCACTCAGTCGCACCACCTCACCACTACTGGCTGCTTCAATTCCTGCCAACTTGGACTCATTTTCAGCTAGCTGAGCCTGTAAAGAGGAAAGAGCTTCATCCCCTTTAATACGATCCTTGGTTGCCTCTGCCAACTGCTGTGCATAATTGTTAACAGCCTTCTGGTGTGTGTCCTTCAATCCTAAAATGGCAACCTCTTGTTTAGCCTCTGCCTCTATCAGCCTTTCGTTAAGCCCCGTTATTTGCTGGTCCTTTTCAAATACTTGACTTGATAATTCATTAAGCTCGAGCTCCCTAGCTCCCAAGACCTGCCGCATCTCCTCTATGTCCTGTCTTGCTCTGCGAAGAGCTGTGTTTGATTGTTGACGTTCCGAATCCAGATTTCGAATAGAATCACCCGCCTGATTGCGTGTGGCATTAAGATCTGCTTGCAGTGCTGCCAGCCGGGCTGTTGCTTCTGAAGCCTTCTCCTCTAATGCTTTGAACTGTACTTCAACGTCGTCCTTTTCTTTTTGAACCTCTAGAATTCGCTGCTTTGAGCGTTTAAGTAAACGGCCGAATTTGGCATCAAGTTCGTTGTACTTAGTAACCTCCTCCTCTAGCTGCTTATTCACTTGTAGCAGTTTTGCATTGAGCTCGGAAAGGGTCTTATCAGCTGGAGGATGAGCATTTTTGACATCAAGATCAGCAGCTTCAGAAGCCTGCAAACTTCGCACTTGCTCGTTCAGCTCACCTTCTAGCTTCTCCACTTTCTCATTTGCTTCCATGAGTTGCTTCCCGAGAAGAGAGATTGTCGCGGCGTTTACATTTTCAGACGTCCTCGATTCTTCGGAATCGGATACGCCACTTGCACCTACACCCTCATGATGCTGTGGGGAGACATCTGAAGATCGAACCTGCTCAACCCTGATACGCGAGATTTCCTCCAGTTGAGACTCAAGTGACCTGTTCCTTTCCATCAACTGCTCCATAATTTGATCCGAGGACAACTTCAATTCCCTGAACACCGCTTCGAGTTTCTCCTTCTCTTCGGCACTTCGACGAGCTTCTAAAGCAAGAACTTCACGCTCCTTCAAGTAAACCCCCTCAGCCAAGGTCTCTACGTCAGCATCATTTCTATCTCCAGTACCTTCTTCGGAAACTCCAGAAGTGGCTCGTACTATGCTCGAGTCCAGAGACACCTGTGATCCAACTTCAGAAGATGCACTTTCATTGCCAGAATGCAAGCTAGCCGCATCTACACTTCCATTAGACACAGCCGCAAGTGCAGCCTCAGCTGCTTCAGCCCTTTGCTGCGCCAACTTTACCTCTGTACTCTGTTTCTTGATTGCTTGCATCATCTTCTTCTTCATCGATGCCATTTCCGAGGCAAGTCGAGCATTTTCGGTCCTTAAGCTTTCTACGTCCGCTGGCGCCATGTTGTAGAATGACTACAGATAGTGTTCTTGAACTTCAGGTGGAAGCAGAGTATAATAAGAACAAATGTCGATGTATCAATCTCTTTTACGGGAAACCTCTACCATACGACAAACAGACAAATAAGTTTTTATTGTACAAGAGCTAATAAAACTCTTTAATGCAAGATATGCCAGAGGCTTTCTTGCCACTTAAGTAATGATCCTGAATTGGTACTAATTTCAGCCATAGCTTCCCCTTGAAATTAGTACCGATTCAAAAGCATAATCGCAACTACTCGCATTTGAAACATCATCACATAACATGTTACATTAAACAAGCATCAATGTAACATGATAATCGTGAGCTGAATCTGGAAGCAGACAAAGTCGATCCTCCAGATCAAAATGCAGACGACGTCTGGCATGCAGAATGACATCTAAATGATCCGCCACAGGAATTTCTAATGGTTAACAGGACTTATTCCTAAAGTACTGCTGGAAACAGAGTTGGATTTTCGTCTCAAGCTCTCACTGCATTAACTATCGAATGAGAACAGAATAATCGAGTAGTAGATAAAAGTGAGCAATCAACATTGATAATAATTTATTTATTAATTTCTCTAAAAAAGCACGGTCTCAACTGTTCTCATTAGGACGACACACTCATGCACTTCAAGGAGCAAATTGTGCGATCTCAGCGAAGCCAAAAATCCGGGTAATGACATCATAATGCACAAGCCCACTGAGTCGATCGAGCCTGGAATGCCAGCAGCATAAAATACAAAAATCACACTATTGAATCCCTTGTGTAAAGTACATTACGTGATGTCGTTCGATTGACTCCACAACCAAATAGAGAAAAAATTATCCCACTTGAACTAACGCCTCCTAATCTAGTCCAAATGTGAGGGCAATGCAGAATGAACAAAGAGTGTGGAATTGTCACCTAATGTCTCAATAACTCATTTGTCAAGCACCTTCCACCTTCCAGACTGTAGAAAGAGCTCTCGTGAGCTGATCATTGAAATTAGTCGTCTTCTCCGCATCCCTGTTCATCATAACTATTTTCACCGCACAATCAGACTCCTTTTCCTCGCAGAACCTCACAACACACAACACCTGTGCACATTGACAACTAGCTTCCTCGTTTCAAAACCCGTGGCAACAACCTTCCATCGCCAGTTCTACCTCCCTCTTTCCTATACTCTTCAAGCTTGATATCAATCCTATCATGCACACCACAAAGACACTTAAATCGCTTTCCCCCCTCCTCCCTACGCTCGATTTTCAAACCCTAGCTTCCACTCTTCCAAGCCCCAAGCCATATACCCAAGTGATCCCCCGCAATTCCATCCACGTAGTCTGACACCGGCAACGAAGCCCCCGATCCCACAACTCACTAAACAAAATGCACAAACTAAACTATTCGCGGTCACATGAGAGACTACCACACAGTGAAACGGATCCACAATGGCAATGGCTGTGGCGATGGAGGATCGCACAAGACTCTCAATTCAAAGCCTTGTCCCACAACTACACACACGTCCATAGGTACACAAGATTGGAACAGGCGTGAAAGGTGGCTGGCCGCAAGACCTGCCTATGACCGCATCCTCCCCATTTGGCTCCTGTTTCGTTCGGCTGGGTCTCGTGAGTTGTGGATTTCGGTCGCAGCCTTGACGATGCCTCCGAGGCAAGCGAATGTTTGAGTTGGGGTTAGAATCGGTGGAAGGAAGCTTCGGCTTTCTATTGTTGGGAATAGACTCGTTCTTCCCCGGATAATTTCATGCAGCGCAGTGTGGGCTTGCTGGTTCAGTATTTTGACGAGTTGTCCACAACTTCGTGTGTCCTCCCCCTTTCGAGGAAAGAGTTTGTGGGTGATAAATGTTGACCGCAGTTTCCATGTCTGCACACGTCGCGAGAGACTTCAAGCTCAGGACGATACATTCCCAAAGGTTCTCTCCCGCTGTAGTATTATGCAAGTACACTACGGCGCTGAGTTTTCTGAATGTGACTGATTGTGTTGTCAGCAATGACATGTCCGGTGCTGGTGAGCAAGGATTAGAGGAGCAGAGCAAGGGAAAGAACGGAACAGGAATCACTCGACGGTGATGTTTATAATATCCTCCTAGCATAGTAAAATCGTCAATGTTGCCGCAGCCAGCATGCACGAAACATCTGAGTTCCTGAGTTCCGTCCATCTGCAGCTCTAAATCTTCCAAGGTAAGTCACTACGCTCCCTCCTCTCAATTCTATTTTACAAACTAGTGCGAGGATTGGAAACTGCAAGTAACATCCAAGAACAGAATGGCAACTCTGTAGTGGCTTAGTTACAAACTTGATGAGCAGCGGACAAGTTGAAAAAGAAGGCATTTATTTTCATGTTATAATTCTTAATCGATGCATGTATGCCGACTTCGCTCCAAGACAGCCTCCTTCGAACCTGCGGTCCACAACCCAAGGGCAGAAATCTGATGCAAAAGTGTGCTTGATGTAGGGCAATTGAAATTGAGACTTAATTGCTTTCGTGATAACAATATCAAAACCCCGATCCCACGAGAAAGTTCTATAAAATACTCTGCATAGAATCAGACTATTAAAGATCACGGTTGGCTAGAATGGAACATGGACCACTTAGGCCCTAGTCAACTCTACGGCTCATCCAAGTATAGCTGAAAATAGGGACGTTTAGGAATGCTTTAAATTCAATTTTATGTTGTCATGATGTAACACGATTAATAGGTGAAAGAGTGTGGAGATTATTATAATTTAGGAGATCTTAGTTCAAAATATTATAACAAATTATCTTAAAAATATAGTTAATAGTCAAAGGGGTAGAAAAATTAAAATATACCAATGCTGCCTTTTAGAAAGGTGACTTCTACTTACTTTGTAGCACCATAAGTAAGGCAAATCAAAGTAGATTGGAAAAATAAATGACATAGGCATCTTTAGAAGGAAGTTAAGAGTAATTCTAGAAAAAAGTTACTTAGAAAAACTAGGTATTGATACCCGGAGAGGGCGGTTATGAATCAAGGTTGAAATCAGACCCTAGGAGACAAAACCGAGTCTCTACAATGACTCCAGGACTTTTTGGCAGATCGGAGAGTGGGGTTTGAGAGAAGATTGGATAGGGTTTCTATGGGCATTGATTTTGGGTGATTTGGAGTTGATATGACTTTGTAAGAGCTTTGCAAAGTTAAGGTTTGTTTCGGATGACTTGGGCTTTATGAAATAAAATAGGGTTCACATTTTGGATGATTTCAAGAGTTTTGTAATAGATTTACAAGTGAAATTTTTTGGGTTTATGGTTATAGTTTTTTTTAATATGTATTGTGAATTTGAGCTCGATCTAACGGTTTAATTGAGGAATATTGAAGTTTAAGTGGGTCAAGGTTTCAAAAAGTAGAATTTTAGGTCTAGTAGGGGTTTTTAAGATTTCTTGCAATCTACTAGTTGAATTGGAGTGAAACTTATGTGAGAGGATATTAGACTTGATTTTCTACGTGTATGAGAATTTTGAGATCAATCGAACGGTACAAAGGAGAGATATTGGCTTTGGAAGATTGGCATCAAGATTGGAGAAGGAGGCTGACCAATACCTGAGTACATTTTTGAGGTTATCGTCAATTTGGTAACTCCGATCCTTTTCAAATTTTTTGTGCTTGTTTTTAACTTATTTCTTTAGAAGTGTGCAAAATTTGAGTTAAGATCAACGGTTTATTCATTAGTTATTGAGGTTTAAATCTGTTGTAGGAATTACTATGGTTTGGTTTAGAGTTTAGAATTTAATTTAGGGTTTAGGATTTGGATTAGGGTTTGGTTAGGGTTTGATTTAGGATTTAGTTAGGATTTGGTTTAGGATTTGGTTGGATTTTAGTTTAAGGTTTGTTTAGGGTTTGATTTAGGGTTTAGGATTTTATTAGGATTTAAGATTCAATTAGTTTTGGCCTAAAGTTTGAATGAAGTTCAATAGGATTTTAAGTAGAATTAAATTAAGATTGAATTGAGATGTATTTGAGTGATATTTGTAATCCTTCTAACATTTCTTTAAGAATTCTTATTGTTTGTTTGAAATTTCTCTGAGATTTCTTTAAATTTGATTAAGCTTGCTTACCATTATTATGGTCTAATTAGAACATTGTTAGTATTCTATTAGAATTAGAATTTTGTTATTGCAATTTCCATTCTTCCTTCTACAGCCAGGTGCCTGAAGCATTCTCAAGCAAGACTTCACGTATTACTATAATATGTGCTACAGTAAGAGCCCAAGAAACAAGATTGCGAAGATGAGAATCTCATGTGCATCTCAAAAGTATCCGACTATACTCGACTCCGAAGATTTTTACATACGCAAAAATGTGCATACCTCTAATCATATTCGCAAGTATCAATTGTTCCCAAGTAGAAGTTGACTATTGGGCACATTTTCCTCTTCAGGAAGTATTCGCCAATAAGTGCAACCTTCTCCAGAGCATCCACCACCTACACCAAAGCCAAAGACAAGTCAGGACAATTATAAAGCCAAAGACAAGTCAGGACAATTCAGGACAATTATAAAGCCAAAGCCAAAGACAAGTCAGGACAATTCTAAAGCAGTGCCATCCTAAATCGTTTTTGGAATGAGAAAATCTACTAGGCTTCAATGATCCCAAGTTGTAATGCGAAGACTTACACATTATTCCAATACACTACAAATCCCAATTAGGACAACCTTCGTCAAATTGATTTCATGCAGGAATAGATCTCTGAACAAGAAAAACTTTATTTCGTTTCCGAAATACATACACATAGGAGCTGTTATCATGGTAACTTCTCACGGATGATGGTTTAATTCATGGATACGAGTCGAGCTCCTTAACTGTAAACTAAATCTCTGAATCTTCAAATAAAAACGTAATAGAAGAATGAAGGAAATCTATACACAAGGATCCTTAAACACTACTACATGCTTCACTTATGTGCAATCAGAGAAACATGCGACAAGGTACCCACTTAAAAAGATAGCAACCTCAGTGAAGGAGCTCTTCAGTAAGCTCCTAAATAGGGTATCCTCTGTCCCACATTGTACCCTCGTCTCCGCGGATGTATGATAACGTTGAATGCACTGGTGTGGTATTCAGATATCCTGGGTCGGACAATCCAAGTCCATCTCCATCTCCGTCAGCCGTAAGCAGCATTAAACCGCGCAACATCCATCAAACGAGACATTACCTAAGTTATGCAATCTGCCGCATACCTCTATAGCAAATGAGCACAGCAACAAACCTCCGGACCTCATACCACGATAAAAGTGAAACAGAACAAGAAAAAACTAAGGTTCACCTCTCATTATTCTGAGGTCGATCGCTCTCACTTTTTCGCCTGCACTGATTACAACTTCGTCCTTCTCCACAGTTCGATTACTAACAAGGGTAAGAGTCCTTTGCTTAAAAAAATATATAGCTGTGCAATTTCAGCTGATACTGTGCAAGATCGATAACCTCTCCATGCCTGGTGACGACATTGCTTGGCCATTACAAGTAAGCTTTTGCAGCTGCAAACAGAACCGACCACAATGAATATTGAAATGTATATATATATATATATATATATATATGTATGGAGTGAGAGAGAGCCAAATGAGACCTCGAGCTCTGTCAACTTGGAAAATGGCGACACAACGAAGTACCCCATCTCACATTACTAATAACGTTAAGCAACGAAAAAGCACTTCTTCTTCAATCGATACAAAATGAACGAAATATGAAAATATTGCGCAATTAACAGAGAAGCAGAAAGCACTCCAACGAAGTTGAATATCGAGCAATAGTGCAACATTGTGAGAAACGACAAGGCATTTCACTCATAGTTGCTCTTGGTGTGAAACCACGAAAAAAACACACGTCAGCTGCCGCAGAGTCATAACCAATTCAGCGCATTCTGTTGAATTCATGGCCTCCACAACTGAATGATACTAAACCAACGCAAATGAAGCTAAAAATCATCGCATGTCACTAGCATCCATGCGTTCCCACCTAATCAACAAATTGTCAGAACCTCCGAAGCGCAAATGTGCAGTAATCGAACATCCACTTACCCTTGTCGCCGGATGTTGGTTGCCAAAGACGAGGTCGGTTCAGCCATCTCAGACAATATCTAGTCTTCATTACGGAGTTTTACAGGTTGGTCAATGGCGAACTGCTCCCGCCTTGTAACTCGGCAAATTGAGGTCTGTTGGCAAATTCACAAAGTAATTTGTTCTAATTCAGGAGAAGATAGATGGGGAAAAGTCTAAAATTCTGAATGGAATGCTACTAAGTACTGTAGCAACGACGTGTGGGTTACTGAGATAGGACGTTATGCCAATCGAGCTCGACCTCAACAACCAAAATACAGATGTTCAAGAGCCGGTTATGGAGTGTAAGATCTTCATAGGCCATTTCAGGGCTTCGTCTCGCGGAGCAAATAACTCAATTTTGTAAGAGATAAGTCATGGGATAAGATGTGAAATTATGAAGTCTCAAAATAAAAGTAAAATATGTAGTCGCTGTACAACTTCTTGCGTAGCTTTCTTAAGGCACTCTCAAAACTATAAACCAAGAGGAATCTATGGAACTCCATGCCATTATGGAACTCTCGTTCATTATCGATTTCTTTGTCTAACAAGCTCTGGCCATAATGTACAACCCTGAAAAATGATTCTCGAATTCCAATTCACCTTAGCTACAGTCTTCACAGCTATCGACAAGCAATTCAGATAGCAGTAGCAGTAAGCACATGCAAACTTCGAGTGAGGCGTAGCATGAGTCTCAAAGAAGATCTGCGTCAATAAACTACCCAAGTATATCTCAACAGGGAAAAGAAAAAACACCAAGGAACCAAATCGCTCCATACTCTGCTGGTATAAACAGGTTAAGTTCAAGTTAAGACTTCCAAGAACAGTATTGAATGCACTAGCCCCTTCACAAAGGCCAAGACAAAACAGAATCTTTATACACAAAGCAATTGCTGTGAGTGTTAACATGGGGATAATAACACGGGAACTGTCTCAGAAGAAACGTACCAAGTATTGAACCCATCCAAATACCTGTCTGTACGGTGACAAAAAATAGCAAGGAGAGCAATTCATAATTTGCCATCACCTAAGCATTCAGTCACTACCTATGAATTTCCTAGGCTTGAACAGATACATCTTCAGACATGGGGGATGCTTCGGGAGCTGAGGAAGAGGGAGGTCCCTGTTGGTCTTCCACGGTTCTCCTCCACGCAAGCTCCCGGGCACCATCTTTATCGACAATCTTAACAATAAAGTTCGGTGGTGAGGCCACCAACCTGCTTCTCACTTCTTTGATACATTTATCCACTAGTTCCAAGGCTTTCTCTAGTGACATGTTCTTCTCATAGTAACGGTCCATAAGCGAAAGCAGAAAGTAGGCACCTGTATCACGTACACATTCTCAGGTCATCGCCGGCATCCCATCACTAAAAAAACCAACGAGGTCTAAGAAACATAAACATAGTACCCGGTAGCAATAGCTCAGCTGAGAAACTCACCATAACCCATTCCACCTTTCTCAAGCTTATGAAGGGTCGAGATGTAGTCCAAGTAGTAAAGTGATGGTCCCTGGTCCTTCTCCCACCCAGCTATCATCATATTCACTTGATATGGGCTCTTTCGAAGAGCGGTGGCAAGCTCTCCCCGAGTGAAGTTCGCGGCAGCAGCAGTTGAAAGAGGAATCCCATTCCGGTACTGGTACAACAAAATGTTTTTCTGGATATATTCCGAAAACTGAACTCTGCACAACCGATCACCTCACAACCACAAATTTCAAAACAGAACCACACTTCCAGGATACAAGACACAAAAGCGAGCAGACGGAGAGACGAGTCCCCATCAAAAAAAAAAAAAAAAAAAAAAAAAAAAAAACCACAATAAACCTCAAAAGACACAGGATCCGCACAGTACCTCCGAGAATCAAAACCTCACAAAAAATCATCAACCCTAGCCCTCTACGAGACTCCCGAAACACCAAAATCCTAGAGATCGATGCCCCACCCAACACCCTAATTCTCAATAGAACAACAAATTCGACCTAACCCAATCAGCTGGTTCCCGTAGTGGATCATACCTACCTGTCCCCGCTCTCACCAGTGACGCCGAGCAGCTTGTGGGAATCGAGGATCATGATCTTGTCCTCGTTTGTCTTCTGCACCACGATGCTCTGCACCTGTGACGTGTCCGCCACCAAGAGGGCGAACCCATCACCGACTAGTCCGAAGATGCACTCCATGCTGCTCGCTTGCTGTGAAGATCAACTGCGGGGACCTAAAATTGCGTTGCGATGGTTGTAGTGCCAGTAATAAGGGCGGATGATGAACAAGAAGAAGAAATGGGCAATGCGTGGGTTGTCCTCGCCCCAGCGCCGTAAAGGTTGCACATAGAAATTCACTACTCCCTTTTCACACAGCAGTCCTGGTGGTATGATAAAGGCACTTTTCACACCGTCGTTGTGCTTCTGGGATAATTGTTCTTTTTACACGGTAGTTGTGGTTCAGATAAAGATCCTTTCCACACTGCGGTCTCACTTGGGATATAAACGCTTTTCACACTGGGATTTGTTTTATAAGATCACGGATGCTTTCACACCTGGACCGCTTTTGAGATCCAGTGTTTGATGTCTGTTTATTTTGGTACTGGTTTACTTCGATTGATACAATCGATTTATGTTGATTTATGCACGTTTTCTTTTTTTTCTTTTTTTTCTTTTTTTTCCAAAACTATTTTTATAATAAAAAATAAGTGTGCTTTGAGTTATTTATATTTTTAAATCTGATAATCTTTTGTTATATCTTTAGTTTTAAATCTGATAATCTTTTGTTATAATCTTTAGTTTTAAATCTGATTATCTTTTTAGAAATACAATGAGAATTTTGCTAAAAAAATTAGAATGCAAAATTAATAAAATAATATTGAATTTATTATTAATTTTCAATTTTATTTAATTATACATAAAATTGATGATTATAAAATTGATTACATTAGATTAAAAGCAAGTACCTTTCTTTGTTTTTGTAAATTTTGAACACTAATTTCTTGAAATTTAGGTTGTAAAATATTTAGTAAATCATTGATTCTAAAAAATTACTTATTCTAATTTTTTGTGTCTTTTAAGTTCTTACATGTATACATACATAAGGTTAAAAACATAATACCAAAGATGCTATTACTTGAATAATTTAATTTTTTGAGCAATAAATTTGGGATTCTATTACTCTTTTTCCAATTAAAAATATTTTCTTAAAATTTATAATATACCTTTACTTATTTATATTTTATGTTTTTGATAATATCTTGATGTCAAATTTTTAATATATATATATATATATATATAATAGCCTTCTAAACCTTTATCCCCATTTTATACTAATATATATATATATATATATATATATATAAAATCAAAATAAATAATACTTTCACTACAAAGAACACATAAATCCCTATACTATTGCAAATTTATTTCACAATATATAGCTAATTGATTTAAAAAAACCCTTTATATTAATATAATGAATCAAATTTACAATTCTAATAAAGTTTGAGCTAAACATTATATATGTATTTAAGATGCAATTTATAATAATAATTTAAATTTAAATTATAAACTTGTATCTCTTATCTTTTATATTTTAATCTAGATTGTTAAACAACTAAATATATTAAAAATATACTTTCTAATATGTATTATATTTGCACCTATGTTTCATTTATCAATATTCTCTACTCAATCTATGTTGGAAGTTGTTTTTTATGTAAGTTATATTTAAGTTTTAATTTTCTATTTAAAGAACTTAGCAACATCTAGTATGATGCAATAATTCATGGATTAAATTTTATTATACTAGCAAGTATGGTTATGCAACATATTGTTCAATATAATGTTTTAATAAAAGAATTTATTTAGTCATGCAATGAGAGAATCGTTGAAAAATGAAGAATAAGGAAAATGCTTTGTATTGCAAAAATGATATTTTAGTATCAAGATTGAAGAATTGGCAACTAAGCCAATGTTTTGTTTCAGTGAGGAACACTGAGAAATGTGATTCAAGAAGCAGAAAATAGATAACTTGACACTATATGTAAATAATTCATAAATAAACGCTTTTTGTTAACATGGTTGAGATGAGAAGTGATGTAGAAGTGTAATGATTCATTGAACAAATTCTAGGATTCGAAAAAATATCAAAGAATAAAAACGTGGACTTGCAAAAGCAAAACAATCACACGTTTGTAAAATAACCACAAGCATAAATGATGTAATAAATATTCTGTTAGCAGACCCTTTCGTAAACTCGTTATTCCTATGAATATATACAAGTAGATATACAAGGCTCAGTGATCATTGAAATGGTCCTATTACAATATATTAGCTGTTTTTCACGCTTCACCATGTGAAACTCCACTGAAAAGATATATAGCACCATAATATGCACAGAGATCAGACGGGTATTAAAAGCATCTTTACCCATCGATTTTCCTCACATTATTTCATCTTTTTCATGCTAGCAGAGACTGCAGTGTGAAACTTCAGATCACGGAAATCAATGCAAAAACACAGCCTTGCATGTTTCGCTAGTAGCAGAACTTCTCGGGGATAAGTTTACCAGGGTTCATGAGATTGCTCGGATCTATCGCCCGTTTTATGCTGCCCATCATCGTCATAGCTGCTGATCCATGCTCCTTCTCGAGATACTGCACACATTAGCAGCAACTCGCATCATACTGTAACGGGTGCAACATCTCTGCGACTCATTTTTGCAACCATCTATTTTATATGACATTAACAAAACTTCAATTCTAGTAAATTATGTATTATGACAAAGGATTGTTCTCATTAGCTAATCAAAGCTTGTGAACCTACCCGTGAAGCGATTTGTTGGACTATTCACTATTTGTCAGGTGAGATGGACACTCTAAGGCAAGTTTCTTTATTGAGTTCATTGATGTAGCTGTAAAAGCATACGAGGAGAACAAGACGGAGTGTGAAAAATTGTGCCGACTCTATTCACCTTGGAACATATCTGAAACAATATGAGAAACCTCATAGAGATTACCTTCATTTTCCCAACCCCAACTCCATGTTCTCCAGTACAGGTCCCTGTTCCAATTATTCAACACTGAGAAATATTTCATCACATTAAAGAAGTAACTGTTCCAGGAATGGTCTGCCAGCTTAAAAGCGTCCCTCGTTTCCAAAGCAGATCTGTTTCGTTTGCTACCCTTTGCAGTGTGTACTTCTTTATTTCCTTTTCTTTCTCAGAAGATTAGGATTCTGAGGCTTTGAAAACGGCTCAGCTTTGATACAAAAGAGGGGGGGGGGGGGGGGGGGGGTAGTGGCAGACTAACCTTCCATGGAGAGGGATAAATGCACGATTCCATCGGCTATTTCCAGGGCCTCTTTCACTTCCTCTTCGTTATTTTTATCAAAAAAAATACATACGTGGAAGTTTCCATCTCCTGCATGTGCCACGAGTACACTGCCAAGAAAGAATGGTCAACTTTAGAAAAAAAAACCAACAACAAAGAAAAATGATATATTCCTTTCTCAATAAGCCGATATCCGTCAGCCACGTTTGATGTAAAATATCTTGATTCAAGTTGAAATACATCGCTAAGAATATCAAGCATGAGGCATCTCCTGTACAGAGATTTGAAGTAGAGGTGAGAATACTGAGGTAGAGAAGATGCGAGTAATCTTTCTTTTGATGTAGAGATGCACTCTGCAAGTCTTGAGAGGGGTACACAAACATCCTACAATCATAATGTATTGCAGTGTTAGATTCGCCATTCTCGTCCGTTGGGCACATCAATCAAATCAATCTAATCAATCTATCTCTCAATCTGATTTTTGATGGTGGGCGTTTACAGTATGCATCTGAAACCTTGTAATAACGTTCCTTGTTAAAAATTATCACGAGGAATTGTTGCAGTATGAGACACGTACGAGGCACGTAGCTGATTCTGTAAAACTTGTGAAACTAACAGTAGACCTTTCGTTATCACTCTGTATACCTGAATCATGCTATAGAAAAAGTGGTCATACCTATCATCGATCCAACTTAAACAAAGAGCTTCTACATGATGGATTTGTTTTCTTACAGTCGTCATACCCTCTGCACCCGGACGGAGAGAAAAACTGGACCAGAATGCTCCCTTTCTGATCTGCTCTATCACAAGCTCATTCCCACCAAGTAACACTCTTTTAGAAAAGCATCTAATGTTTGACTTCTCATAATATCGTCCGTAAATCCAGTCAAAATCGTATCACCACACCTCATTAAAGGCTGGGTCATGGTCTTGAAAAAAGTACATGATAAGAGAATCGCTACAGTAAATATTGCTTGTTACCTTCCAGAGCTCCTCTTTTTCCATCTCTGAGTCAGCGTAGACGAAGTCTGATCCATTGTGAGCCTGAACTATTTTTTCAACTCGTGAAGTTTGCTCGAGGGCATAGGCTTCTGTTGACGCAAATTGACCCCATTTAGATTCACTAAAGCTACTGAGATTGCCGTTGAGTTTGTAAAGACGAAAAAAATCAAAAGAGCAATTTGAGAGAGGATAAAAAACTATTTGAAGACTCAGTACGACGAAACACCACTAACATTGGCTGATATACCCATCACTTCCTTTTCAAATCCAAATAGACTTCAAAAACAGTAGAAACGGTGATATATCAGTATCATCATTATCTAATAACCACTGGACCCAAACTTATTAATCTAGGCAGCTACAAAAGTCCATCTGAAAGTAAACAAACCTGTCCCTACGAATTCGAACATAAGTGTTGGTTCTGTTGGATAGTTTTTGCCGTTTGCAATATTGATAGCGTTCATCATCATCTCATCCAGCAACTCGACCCGTGAGACCTGCCCTGACCCAATCCCACACACCTTGCCTCCTCAATGCCTTATCAAATTGAACAATCTCTCCAACCTCTGTCTATTGCAGTTTCAGCTTGGCTAAGATCTGCTTGATAGCACAACTTTCCGAGCCGTTATATGCATGAACGATGGAATAACCTGAATCCCCGAGTGCATGGTTGCGATGGCTACAGCAGTGGCATCTCCAATACTCTTAAAATTGCACATGGCTACCTACAGTCAAGACAAACACATTCCAAAGTCATTACAAAGGTTAAGAAGCAACTAATTACCATTTCAACAAATAATATTCATCATCTAGAAGGAATACGTTCTACGCAAAAAATCAGGTTTTCTTTCGGTTGACTCTGTACAATTAGCAGTGCACAGCTGCTCTATAGTGAGTTTTTCACCTGGCTCTACAAACGACAATCTGTTTCAACAGAGATAAAATTGGTTTAAACAGTACAATCATTGAATCACTTTCAGGCCGGTTCCAGCTTAATAAAAACAGTACCTGCACAGCACCTGTCTGAGGAGGCTTCAAAGCAATTTTCTACAAGCGCCAAAACAAGGAAGAAACTCTAATCAGAAGACAACTGTTGGAAGTGCATTCCATGAACTTACAACAGAAGCTTCAGGGATTTTTTGAAGACGCAGTGTGACCTCTGTGATAAGCCCCAAGGTGCCTTCACTCCCAATCAGCAATCTTGTCAAGTCATATCTGGACATGACAACAAACTAGGTAAACATTCATCGGTAGTCATCGAGTCTGTATGCGATGGAAATGAAGGTAAATGTTCACAGGCCTAAGAAAATGCATACCAAGTTGTGGGGCTTTGAGATTACACATCCCAACTGCACGAGAGTTTGTAACCAAAAAGAAGAGATCAAAAGCGAAAACGAGAGGACCTACCCTGCAGCACTTTTTCGAGCACGAGCTGCTGTTTTGACAACATCTCCGTTTGGTAAGATACACTAACATGCCGCCAGAAAAGTTCCACAAGTTCCAGGATGGTCTTGCAGCGTTAGACTCATGGATGCACCAAGGTAATCTTAAGAACCCAAGAAAAAGTTAACAAAATTCCCTTTTAAGGTTTACTTTGAATGTAGAAAATTTAATATTCCACGTCAATCATTGTTCAACTTGTCTACAGAGTCTTACAGGAGAATGTGTCAACCAAACCTGATCTCACTATCTTGAAGATGGAACACAGCACACTCTTTTTATTTGTGATGTTAAGACTTTCAAGAGGTCGAATGATGATAGTTCACCTTCAAAGAAATGACGTTGTCTCGCATTGTGCCGTACCTGCAACGAACATCATTAGAGCGAGTCTTAAATTATTCTCTACGTACCAAAATTATAGTTCGCAATGAAATCTCGCATGAACAATGAAACCTTTTGTCACGTCTGTCCATCTGTCACATATATCTGCACGCTGCAATACAAATTTAACATATGGTCTGGACAGATGCATCAGCCGCAACTGCTTGTCAACTTGATCAGTTACTTAATAGAAAAGGTGTCGTTACTTGTTGGGTCCCTAACCCTGTGATGTATGGAACATAAAGATGCAACATCTTTCTAAAAGAACATTAAAAAAGAGTGATATGATCTCGTACCGCACAGCCAAGGAACCAGAACATCGAGTTGCGCACATTCCTCCGATTGAAGCTCCAGGACCTGCACGAGACCAGGCGACACAAATAAGTACCAGTGCAACAAGTAAATGCGATGCCCGGATGATGATAGCAGCAGGATGTCACAAATCATGTGAAATCAGTCTATGTCCTAGATCTTGAGAAATGAGAGTAAAGTTTGCAGGTTAAAAATTGAACTCATGAAGAGTGCATCAGCAAGATGATCGACGGCACAGAAAAAGGATATCACCTGGGTCCAAAGGGAAGAAGAGGCCGTGTGGTTTTAAGAACTCATTAAGCTCTATCCATCCAATGCCTGACTCCACTACTACATCCATATCTTCTAAATGCAACTCCTTGACTCTCTGCACATCTCCCGTGCAACACATATCCATTCAGACCAATATCATCCCTCTTTCTATCACGTGGAAGCATTCCATCACTGGAAAGAATCAGTAAAAAGTACCCGCTACATTAATCTAAATCTATACGCAGAAAGTCAATAAATTATAATTTGAGGAGTTCTAGGAATGATATCATCAAATAACGTGAAGTCATATCCTCCTCCCTTTAACAAGTAGAGAATAAAATAAGAAACGGACGATTCAATCTTACAATAGTTCAGACGCGCAACACATATTTACCTTCATCAACTTCATGTTGATGCTAACTCCTTTGTGAGGAGTCATACTCTGTCCTTCCATTGACGTCCCGCCTGCAAATGGTATCATAGGGACCTGAATACAAGAATCAAGCTCAATCAGCGAATGTCGATTCTTCAGAAAAGCTCAACTTAAACCAACGCAATTTAACCGGCATAGCCATATTATTGTAGTGAAGCATGAAAGGAAATCTCTCCTCTTCGCATACAATGGACCTTGGCTGCAAACCTTGTATTTCGCACAAGCGTTAACGACTGCCACAACTTCCTCCTGAGATCTGGATTGATGAGATATCAATAAACATCAGTTCAGGGTTTAGGATTTTGATTGTTCAGACCATTCTTTGCACCTCCCCAAGAGAATACTTCACACAATTGATACTTTACACTGAAAAGAAACTTCAAGTTTCCTAAGATGAATGAAAACTTCAACTTCAAGCTAGCACTACGTACACCAATGTGTGCATGCATGTTCGATGGTATCGATGGAAATCTCTTCAGCTTACTTGGGATAAACCACAATATCTGGAATGGCTTTCACAGCAAAATGACTGTGCCAAGGTTTTGCATGGAAGGTCCTTTCTTCCACACCTACAACAACACGATCCTCCTGAAATTGCAAAGCTGAGTTAGTTTTCATCCTTATCTTTAAAAAAAATTGCAAACAAGTAGAGTAACAGTTATCTCGGAAGGTCGGAACATGTTGAAGTTTTTTTCTTACTCGAACAAATCATTCTGATCAGAAATCTTTCCAAAGTTGAGAGGAATCAATGACTCTTAGGTTTAAATTTAACCCCATCATTCATCGCGCATTTGAATCCTACCAAGTCTACATTTAGATTGGCTTTGCCAAATTTCAACTTTGTATTTGGTTTAGTGGGTTGGACACTTCCTGATTCAGATTTCAAAGCTGTAAGAGCACGTTGACATACTCTACCTTCTGTGTTTAAAGAATCGACGTCTTCAACTTTAACTTTCTAACATACAATTTATAACATACCTCTGAAACTACCAAGCTTTCGGGGTTTCAAAAGTGCAGAGCCGTATAATGAGATAAAATGCAACCTGCCAGAGTTTGATGCTAGCTAGACATGACAAAGAATGAGCATTCAAAACAAAGCTCCGCATGTTGGAGAAGTGCCCCAGAACACAAAATTGCAAAAGCTGCTTCAAAGAAGTTCCGATCGTATGTTGCGTCATGTTTTGATCAGTTGCCGAATAATCTCAGCCCACTGACAGTAAAATATTCCTATCCAAAGACGATACGTTAGTGGGACGAAATACTGTTTCACTTAATAGCGCAATGAGACTTACATCACACACAGCTTTCAATTCCGCAAGAAGGCGAGATATGATGTCGACAATGAGGTTCCGAGACCAGTCATTCCTGCCAAAAATCAATTGATGCAGTGGCTTAGCGCGATGTGACCTAATCCTACTAGACTCATCAAGAAAACTAAATCCATAAACTTTCCATGTTCAGTTTCAATCCTCAAACCACTTTTAGCGATCAGCTCACAACCATCATGCCTGAGACGAGTATGGCTACAACGGCATTTGAAGACTGTGAACTTCTCGCCGAATTGTTCTAGATATTATACACTCATTCTACAAACAAATAAATAAAACAAAATAGAAGAATTCTAAACTTCAGGAATCGGCCACAGACGCTTTGTCTATCTTCGGAACGAAACATAATACACAAGCGATGACAGGCTGCTGAAATTTAACTGTGTTTGCAACCATGGACGGAAGGAACAATCTCACAACCACACTTGAAAAGCACTTGTGGATTGTTTGGCTGAATTTCGGGTTCGCAACACTTATTCAAAATCGACCATCGCATTGAATCTACACTCTTTCTGTCAATTCCACAAGGAATCTACTATAGGGAAATTCAAAGAAACACAATGAACGAAGCATGTCGATTGGAAATGGGTTTCTAAATACCATGAGACTGGCCTCTCTGTAGCTTCAACTTGTTCGAGGTCCTCAATGCGCGACGCAACCCATTCGTGCAGCTTCAACAGACTCATGAGCCCCGTAAACGCTACCACTCCTCCGATCGCCCTCGCATGCTTCCTCCATCCTGTTACCCCTGAACCCATCTTCCGCTCGGCGGAATTGGCACCCTGCGACGCCAAGCAACAACGTTGAACGTTCGGGTACCGGAAAACAGAATCCGCTAGAAAGCAACGCAAACGCAGTCCACGCCCTCAGCGCCAGCCAGCCATAAATCGCCTAAGCTCTAAGCAATTTCCAGCAATTCGATCCAACAAGCTAGGTGCTTCATACAGCCTCAACTATTAATAGCGCAAGCCTTTTAATTCTCGACACAGTGAATAGTATGTGGCATTCATCTACTCCGTGCGAATCTGTACCCTGTGCTTTGGGGCATCTCGATCAAAGTTAAGCAGGAACCCAGACTTGGCATCTTAAGCTTGTTTTAGAGAAACACTTCATCGGAAACTTCTGCCACAGCCCACGTGTGTACTGCATCAATGATAGAGGTGTAGACTACAGGGGAAGGTTAGTAGAATATAGTGTGGTAGGGCGTTTATTGTAGACAGCACCAGTACGTTTTGTGGTTTAAGCTTAAACGTGCATTTGTGTTCCGTTTCGAATTGTGAAGCTATGATCATCACAGTGAGGTTTCATATCAAAAGATTCAAAGAGCTCAATCGTGTGACAGATAAAACATCGTGCACAGAAAAGGTGATTGAATTCCACATTGATCAAGGCGTACAATGATCGTGGACGATGTATATTACGGAGCCGGATACTCACTGGAAAATTACGGGCTTTTGCCTAGGCTTTTCTCTCAAATGTGTGTGTCTCGTCACCCAAATACCGGATTCCGTTAAAAATGAAAACTCACTAAACTAATCTTGGCTTCAGAATTATGTCATCTGAGCCATGTAATGACTTGGACAAGAGTGCAAAATGTACAAGAGATTGTCTCCAAGTCCTATCTATGACCTGGATGTGAAATAAATTTACAAAATTACACTGAATACAAGCTTTACGATCCGCCATGAGCCTTGCATCAAAAAGAACCAGATTAATGATGAGACGACTCCCAACATGCAAGCAAATACAAAGCCACTCCGAGACCCCTTTACTACTTGTCTTTGAGGATGTCTTTTTGAGCACTGAACCCAGCCTTGTTGCTCATTACCATCGATGCAAGGCTTCATAATTCCTGATAGAACCCCTTGGTGCAACTTCCCTTCGACACAGTCCATCGCCGCAACCTCCACACATGAAAACTCTCGCAGCTTCAGACAGGGAAATTTTAACGCTCCAATAATTGGCTCAGAGGTGCTTCTAGCTGAGGCTGGACGTATTCGCATAGGAGTAGTTATTCCTGAAGGTAACAAATATGATCTCCAAGATAATCTCTCTAGACTGTATTCAGCTTGTGGAGACGCTGCAGGAGTAAGTTCTGGTGCCACCAAATCATGGGCACGAGAATCTATAGTGGGCGGCTCGTCCGATTGTGATTGGGCACCCTGAGCAATACTTTGCAGCTGGTCTGCATTACTTACCCAGAGCTGCACACCTGCAGCATTTGACCAGTAATCTGTACACGTCATAATGTACTATCAAAAATCCTGAAAAAAGAGATAGATCTTCATAAAGAACCCTGTCTGTACTAAAAGAAGGGATTTTAAAAATTGTTCAGATGTGACTGATGTTTTGGAAAGAAAAAAGAAAAAAGAAAAACGATTAACGTAGGTACAAAAAACGAGAACTCGTGTGAATTGAATGAATTAGCAACTCGCAGTACCTTCAACTGGATCTGGTAGAGCACCATAATCGACCAACCCGCTATCAATGAAAAGCTCTTGTGAAGGACCGTGTTGGTCCAGGATGGGTGTTGCATCCTCAGCGAAAAACTCGGCAAAAGCTGAAGATGATGAACTCCGGTGAAAGCTCCTAGACGGAAGTTCTGGAGCTGAGGGTGCAGGATCAGATAAATCCACAGACTGGCTGTAGGATGCCTGACGCCGTGCCAACCGTATTCTTCGGGAAATGTCCCCCTGAGGATTTAATTGTACCGTCGTGGAAGTACTGCGAGGGAGTAATTGGATTTGAGAGCTTTCGGGAACAATACTTTCTTCATTGGGCACAATTAAATCATCCATCTCCAAATAGTCATCAATACTTATGTCTCCCACCGAACCAACATGAGGAGAGATTAAGCCACTCTCAAGATCAATATCGTCGTCATCAAATTCGAGATCGATGAGAGATGCCATGACATTGTTGTCGATCATAACATCACTGTTGATGACTTCCTCTCGCCAATTTTCATTCACAGTGGCAACCCTGGATTGTTCAGTACCAAAAACATCCTCCACGGTGATGCCATCATCTTCACCACCAACATCGCCCACACCAGGCATTTCATGAAAGATAGATTGTATATCCCCAGTGCTTGCGCATCGCGGGGTGACAGACTCCTCATCTAAAAAGTCACTCATGTTACCTCGGACATCTGGACATTCACCGGGTAGTTCTCCAGGCTCCTCAAACTGCGCCTCCTCCAAAACACCAGAGGATGGCTTGGCCGAATCCTGAGGAGGGGTCCAGGGCTCCTCAATGAATGGCCCCCCATATCGGGCTCCGTTGTTCGGTCCAGGACCATTCTTCTTGAAGACACGAACAAGAACGTAAGGCACCTGCTCTCCTCTCAGATTTTCATAAACTTCATCCGCCATTCGATACTCATGCATGACCCAGTCGGTACGTTGTCCATTGGGAGCTCGACCGATGTAATACACAAGAGTTTTCTTCATGCCTCTTGAATACTGAGACTGAACGAACCTATCCTTTCCCGTCGACTTCCAGTACCCACGCTCCGTGGCTCGATTGGTACGGCATCCTTTCGGAGACTTCTTGTGTCGCGCAATGTAAAAATACCGCTCCTGATCAGAACCCCCAGGCTCCACAGGCAAATCCCATGGCTCTACACTGTACAGGTCCACTACTACAATTGGGTTATCCTGGATACTCTCTCCTCTTATTTGCTTCTTCAAATATAAACCCATAATTTCAGCATCAGTAGGATGGAATCTCCATCCAGGAGAGCGCGAATGCGTCGACATGATCGTAACTCGCAGAGTATCACGCTTACAAAAACGATAAATATATATTTTTTGCGCTTTTGATATAAATTAAGTTAGATTAAATTAATTAATAAACAATAAACAGCAACGATCTCACCGAAGATCGAGAAACTCTCAATCTATAACATGAGAGATAACACTATGCTGCTTACAACTAGCTAGTATCACGAAAACTCAACACTGCTCAGAAAATGGCTACGACGATTCACACAGTAGAATTCAGAGCGGAAAAAAACCAGAAGAAGCCGAGGAAAGAGAAGACTAGAGAAGAAGAGACACTAAAGGCACCAAACTGAATCTCTCTCTCTCTCTCCCATGAGTTAACACGAGACAGAGACGGCGGAAGAGCTTGCAAACAACGCAGCGCTGCAGCAAAAACAATGGAATGAGCACGTGACAAAGCATGAGCCAGTGTTTTAAGAGCCAGTGTTTCACGGGCATGAGCCTTCTGCCCGCTCCTAAAACTTGGGCAGCAAGGCGAAAAAACCTCGGCGTTCGTTGATTGGATCTGTGACTCGGGCAGAGACTATTTCCTCGTAGTCCACTTTCCCCGCCAGGCTAACTGTCTGCACAAAGCCATTCCAATCAAATACCCGGATTTGTCTTACACAGACGGTATCCGCACCAACCCAGTCCTTTCAAATACCCTGCTTGACCATACCCAGTCGGTGTCTATACCAGAAGATTCCATTAAAATACCCGGAACGATCATACCCGGCCGGTATCAAGCCAGGGTATTGTCTGCAAAGGAATCTTACTACTGTGCAGACTAGTTTGCACTGAATTATAATGTGATTTTTAAAGTTTAATATTTTTAAATAAGGAAAAAATCTTACTACAGTGTATAAAATAAATGATACATTTTATTCTGTTTTTTAGTATTGAAAATATATATTGTAGTTTATGAAACAATGATGTGATTGGAATTGCTTTATTCTGATTGAATTAAATAGATTAATATTTATTCAAATAAAAAAATTTTAATGATTTAAGAGTGTTGGAAAATTTGAAAAAAATGAAACGCTTTATATATATATATATATATATATATATATGTATATATATATTTTTATTTGATTCTTATTTCATAAGTTTTTATTATTTCTTGTTATCTACGTGACTGTAAAAACTAGCAGAAAATTACTAGCATATTTGTAAATAAAATAAAGTTATATATGTATATTAAGTAGTCAAAAAAGTAAGATATTAAAGTAATTGTTACATCATACAAACAAATTAAAGCACTCTAAGTCAAAGGTGTAAAATAAATAAGTTGGTAACATGACTTAAAATAGCTTTAGATTTCTCTCCATATTTTCTAACTATGAAGGACATAAGGAAGCTTCCATATGACCACAAGACTTCTTGGTCAAGTTTCCTAGTTCTAGAATGCTTCTCTAATAATGGGTGTTTGAATAACTACTAAAAGAAGCTTATTGGTCAATTGATGTATAATATAACAATTGCAAATCTAACTTGTATTCAAGAAGCTTCTATGATACTTGATAAAAGAGTTTATATATATATATATATATATATATAACACATATCAGTCTACTCCTGCCCATTTAGGTAACACATATGTTAGAGTATTTTCAGTGTACTTTAGTTTTATTAATTTATTAATGTGAAAAAAAAATTAGATTCTTTGTGGATTTTAACAGTAAAATTATCAATATTTGCTTTATTAGAAATTCACATTATTGTTTTACTTGAATAAATTACTAAATTTAAAGAAACATTTTATATCCCATTGTAAGATTTTTGAGGAACAATAGTTTAATAAGTCAGATACATATCTTTGGTATAAAAACTTTGTTATTCTTAGCAACTTTCAAAGCAAAATTTGTGAGATATCTAAACACGTATGATATCTAAATACTGTAGATAATATATATACATATGTATCCTAAAACTACACTTATATTCTAATAACATGTCTGTTGTTACATAACCTGTATTTGCAATATTTAATGATTCAACTCTAGGCTTTTGACCAGTCAAAGACGTAGGTTGGAATCATATTCAATCTCACTCATGCAATTGCTGACATGGCAAATGATGAGGTGGCAGTACCAGCTGGCAGATCAGGACTGTTCAACAGCACCGGCGCCGAATTGGGTTTGAAAGTGGTGATGCGCGGGAGGTGGAGGCCAATTCCAACACCCGAATCTCTATTCCGCATTGTCGCACACTACAATTCTTCCTGGTTTTATCAACAACGCCGAAAGGACTCCTGCGATCCTTCGGCGACACTCGTCACTGGCATCGATTGAGGCGTACATGCTGCCGCCGGAATGTGGCTCGTGATCAGCAGAGAAAGAAATAAACACAAACAAACAAACAAACAAACAAAAGAGAAAAGCACCGCCACTGCACATCACAAATCTCCGCGAGTATGTGCATCCCGGGGTTTCGATTTCGCAATGCGCGGCTCGCCGAATATCAACGCGGTGTCGGCAACAGCGCTTGTGCTACGTCTAGAAGTGTGCGACCCGGGGACAGTGGGCAAGTGCGACGGGAGTGGGATTTGGATCTGCAGACGAGTGAGTGCATCGAACTTGGGCGGTGTCTGTCTTCCTCCGAGGTTTCATCGCCCTCGGCCTTGCTGGCAATGCTTCAAAAGTTCATCTCTTCTGTCCATTTGCATACATCCATCCACTAATCATTCATCCCATTCATCCACTATTCGTTCATCGATATTCATCCACTTCATATTTGTCCGCTTGTTCAAACGAAGAAATGGCTTCAGTAAATATAGAAAAGCGATGTGAAATTATTCAATAAATGCATTTGTTTTGCTTTTTGTTGTTTTGTTGTTTTGTTTTTTTTTGTTTTTTGTTTTTTTTTTGTATGGATTTATGTATTTATGTATTTATATTTTTTAAATCCAAAATTTTGAACATTTATTGCCAATATTTTGATATCAATCTAATAATAGGTTGCCTCTCATTGCGTTGATAAAATCTTTGGTACTTATTTGGTATCCATCTGTATTAAAATGCATGGATACTAAGTGGATGAGGTAAAAATGTCAAAGTGCAATTTTGGTACTTTTTTTGCACAATTAGTATGTAATAAACTCTCAATTATACAAATCTATGTGCTAGATTTGTAAGGTACTATCGTCCAAAAAATCACTCAAATTTTAATTCATAGATACCATTCAATTAATTCTTTATTTAAATATTAATTTTTATTTAAATATAGACAATGTCTCTTAATTTTTAGTTAGCTTTACTACAATGATGGCTCTCATTTCTATTTTAGTAAGTTAGGTCAATATTATAAGTTATAAAAAAAACATGTTTTTATATATATATCTATATATATATATATATATATATATATATTTTTGTATTTTAAGTAATTTTCAATGCTAAAAATCTAGTCATTGAGATTAGAAATTATGCAAATTATTAAAAAAATAAATTTAGATATTTAAATTTTAAATTTTAAAAATATATATTATTATTAAAAATTTCTTTATATTATGAAAAAACAAGCCATAAAATACAAGAAAATTACATCAAATCAAATAGATTCAAGATAAGCTGTACAAAACTAAATTCAAGTAATTAATCTTAAAATTATAAATATGTATTATTACAAAATCTTATTCTTATATAATATAAAATAAGTCATAAAGTACTATATATCATAGACATACATATTTACTATAATATTTACCTATATGATTAAGTAGAAGTAGATAAGAATAAATTTATTTCATAATATTTTTTAGGGAAGCTTTTTAGAAGCTTAATAGATGCTGCTTTGACTTGTTATGTATTTGTAGATGATTGATAGGTTAGAAACTTGGTCAATAAGTTAATTATGTGGTAGTAGCTTACAAAACAAGTTAACTATAAAGGCGCACATATAGAAAACTTGTCTTATAAGTTAAGACATGTGTTTTACAAAGTCAACACGTTTTAGAAGTTCTATAGGACACTACCATATAGCTCTTAGTTAAGAGTATATATGGAGGCAAGAGTGAAGCCTTTTTCACTCTTGTCAACGCTTTTCTAGTCTTTAGGCTTGTTTTAAGACTTTTTAATTTTCTTGTTTTTGGCAATAGCCATTCTAGTTTAATACTATACCATCTTTGAATGACTTTCTAGTTCTTTTGAGTGACACAAGAGTATATTAAAGATTTCTTTCTTTGAGCTTTATGTCCTTAAGACTTTGATAAGAGTGCTAACTTTTTGTTCTTGTCTTGTTTTAGAAGTGAGTGGATTATCTCACTTCTATTATTATATTTTGAAGGTTGCAGATTATTCAACTTTAAAAAAACTATTTAATTTTTTAATACCATTTTTTTTCTTAAAGAAAGCAAATTATCCCTCTTTGTGGAAATTTTCATTCGATATTAGAAGTTGAGGACTACCCTCATCCAAATTGACTTGTGGATTTGTTATGTTGTTTAAAATGGAAGGAAAAATCATAGATGCTATACTTGATAGAAGTGAGAATAGGTTTGGAACTATTGAAAATCTTTACAATCTTGTCAATACTCTTAGAATTGAAATTTCACACATCACTAGTGCCAACTACAGAAACACTAATCCTATGCCTATGAAAGAAGTTCAAAACCTATGACAATAAGTTGTGCAGTTGAAGGAAGCAAGTAAATCAATCCTACAACCAAATCTAGGAAGTTTTGCTTCTACAAGTATGACGAGAACAAAAATTAGTATGCCAGCTAAGTTTGATCGAACAAGATCAAAATTTTGAAGATTTATGCAACAAGTCAAGCTCTATTTAAGGTTGCATCTCTTTTGATATCCTAATGGATTTACTCAAGTTTGATTCATAAGCACACTTCTATCTAGAAGTATTTTCTTTTAATTTATACCATCAATGGAAAAAAGATTTGTAACTCTTTTATGATTTAAATTCATTCTTAGAAGTGTTTATGGCTACATTTGGAGAAAGTAATCAAGAAAGAGTAGTAAAGACCAAGCTCTTATTTTTATACTAAGGATCATAATCAGCCACCATATATGCTGCTGAATTTCAAAATATTGCTTAGAACATGGATTGGAATGAAAAAGTCCTCATCAATCAATTTTGATATGAGTTGAAGGATAATATAAAAGATTTTTTTATTAACAATGTTAAAAGTAAAATCTCTAAAATAATTTATTGCTTAAGCCATTGCAAACAACAATTAATTATCTGAAAGGCGTCAAGAACAAAGACTTTGCTACAAAAGAATAAGTCAAGTAATGACAATAATTCTTAAGTTTTCATAAACTTATTCATCATGTTTGGAATCAATGCAAATTCATACAATATGTTTTAAATCTCTCACGATGTAAGAAAAGATTCAATATTGTCAAGAGGGTTTTTGCTTATATTATAGAGAAGCTAAGTACATTGCTT